GAACGAAATCAAAGACACACACCGTTGTAAGGGCGATAACTCCATCAGGTGAGCCTGATACTAGGGTAATGAAAGATGGATAAAGGAAAAAAACATGAAATAGGAGCTGTATAAGGGAGACAAGTCCTTTGGCCAAGGCCATTAATCCAGATTCAGACAACGAGATAGTGCAAGTCATCGATTGGACACTAGTTGGACTCAAAGCAGGGATTTTGTGTGGGGAAATCAAGCAGGGATTTTGTGTGGGTAAATAAAGCATAGATTTTGTGTGGTGAAATCAACCATAGATTTTGTGTGGGGAAATCAAGCAGGGATTTTGTGTGGGGAAATCAAGCAGGGATTTTGTGTGGGGAAATCAAGCATAGATTTTGTGTGGGGAAATCAAGCAGTGATTTTGTGTGGGGAAATCAAGTAGAGATTTTGTGTGGGGAAATCAAGCAGGGATTTTGTGTGGGGTAATCAAGCAGTGTTTATGTGTGGGGAAGTCAAACAGGGATTTTGTGAGGAAATCAAACAGGAATTTTGTGTGGGGAAGTCAAACAGGGATTGCCTCATATTTTACCGATGTTGGCACTAGATTTATCTTTTCTGCTGGCTGATGTTGTTGTATTTGATGTTGGTTTTGATATGTATATTTTCATTCACATTTTAAATATATATATGTCATTGCTTTAATTATTGATTTGAAAGTAGACTGGCCAAAAAATATATACATTTTTCTTTTTAAATGCCGAGACACTTAAATAGATATACAACTGTCTAAGATAAAAATTCAAAACACTACCTATCAGCACATCTCATAATGAATTTTAAAAAAATGTGCAATTTAATTTTAGGTTCTAAAAAATTAAAAATTCCATGTAACAGAAATGATGGAACGTTTCTTAGCGTTTTTGTCAATGTTTGGATAATGTTCATGTTTATTTATGTCAATGGTTAGCCTACTTAACGTAATTTTGTCAATGTATAACTTGTGTCAGCATTTATTTTACCAAACCTAGACTTGGTATCAGTTTCGTATGGTTTACCTTGCAAATACTTGTTCGACATGAACTTAATAGGCATCTTGAGTTCAATCTGGTTTAATCCTGATGAAAAACGTCATCTGAAGATTTTTCGGATAGAGTAACAAATTATTTTAAAATTTGTCATACAAGTTGACACGTGAGAAGATTTTATCATCATCACTAGGCGGGGGCGAGAGTAGGTTTTTTTTTTTTAAAGTTTTTTTTTTTTTTACAGGAAATGTTGCCCTTAGTTAACCTGAAAATAAAATCAAGGTAGGATTTTTGAATTAAAAGTAGTATCAAGAAAGTAATTTTTTTCTATTTCGAATTTTAAGAAGGTCTTGTTATTTTATTTTTAAAAATAATTGTTCAGGTTTTTCCACCATTAATAACGCTTAAAGTTTATGTTATTCCTGTTGAGATTAGCCTCCCTTCCCTGTACACTTTTAGATTGTTAATACCGGCTTATTAAAATGGTGTTGATGGACTTGTATACCCGCTCGAGCACTGGATCTGGGAGTTTAGCATGACTGGGTAACATGAACCCAATACTTATAGTGTACACGCCTGTTATATGTACGCCTATTGCGTTTACGCCTGTTGTGTACATGAGTGTTATTTACACGAGTATTGTGTTTAAGCGTGTTTATACAGAAGTGTTGTGTACACGCATGTTGTGTACAGTCGTGTTGTGTACAGTCGTGTTGTGTACACGCATGTTGTGTACAGTCGTGTTGTGTACAGTCGTGTTGTGTACACGCATGTTGTGTACAGTCGTGTTGTGTACAGTCGTGTTGTGTACAGTCGTGTTGTGTACAGTCGTGTTGTGTACACGCATGTTGTGTACAGGTGTGTTGTGTACAGTCGTGTTGTGTACAGGCGTTGTGTATAGGTGTGTTGTGTACAGTCGTGTTGTGTACAGACGTGTTGTGTACACGCATGTTGTGTACGGGCGTGTTGTGTACATGCATGTTGTGTGCAGTCGTGTTTATACAGGCATGTTGTGTACAGTCGTGTTTATACAGGCATGTTGTGTACAGTCGTGTTGTGTACACGCATGTTGTATACAAGTTTGTTGTGTACAGTCGTGTTGTGTACAGGAGTTTGTGTACAGTCGTGTTGTGTACAGACGGGTTGTGTACACGCATGTTGTGTACAGGCGTGTTTATACATGCGTGTTCTGTACAGTCATGTTGTGTACAGTCGTGTTGTGTACGGGCGTTGTGTGTACACTATAATTGTCTACGCCAGTGTACACAAACTGACGTAGATAACATCAAGCTAAGGGGCACAAAGTCCGGATAACTCTTGCCCTCAAATCATCGTCTGGACAGACAGGATTGCCGCCCCTGCGTGTTGTAGTGACGAGATCTCGTGACATTCTATCTGTAATGGGATGTCAAGAACCGCAACACACATTCGGCCCCACGAGAAACTCGCTCTCCTCCGATGGAGAGTAAAAAAAAAACCCAAACTTTTGAGCTAGGGAGAAGAAATATCAGAAACCAGGGTACGTTTAAGCTTTATATTGAAAGATTGTACAGATATTTTTTTATAGTATGTTGTCGCTAAAGTGCAGACTCTTAGTTAGCTGCCCGTTTCACAACGGCCGCTATTGAAAAACGTTAAGTAAGGCCCATAACTCTTATCCTTCATTGAGTATTAGGGGAAATAAGAAAGGCTCGTTTTTATTTTTTATTTTCTGTTTTCAAGCCAACATTAAGTGGTGTTGACAACTTCTTCTCCCATCCTTGTAATGTTGGACGAAAATAGAACAGGTTTTTTAAAAATACTACAAAATATATGTGAAAACTCGCGAAACAAAAAAAAAAATATAAATAAATAAAAAAACAAATACGCATGTCGAATTATTTTAAAAAAAAGAAAACAAACTTAAGACGAATGAAGACGAGGCCGTGATTTCTGTCGTCTGACGTGTACGATTTCCGGTACACTTTTTCATTTGTGCATGCGCAGAATGGATACCACATCCGGTCAACGTTCAAGGCTGGAGATGCTGTTTGCCGCATCCGGCGCATGCGCGTTGTTTTCAAATTGACGTGGGCCCTGATCTGGGATCAGCAATACAATTGGCCTTGGCATGCTGCTGTCAAGTCTGAAGCCAAGACACGGGACAACGCCTGCAACTAATTACAAAAGAAAGGGTGCACGATCTTGGAGATGTTGAAAAAAAATCAAAGTCTGAAGACAAGCGTCCAGGTCTTTGTACACGATGTGATATCTACATGGGTCGTTGGCTACTTGAGACGGTATGAGAAACTTGTATCAACAAAGTGACTGGTCACCTTTGTCCCAGCATTGTCAGATAACAGTCACTATCGTCTCACCATTATGTCACCCTTTAGTTCAGGTCACCATAGTCCCCTACTCTTAAAGTAAAGTAATCTTATAGTAACTATAGTCTATAGTGTGTGGTCACCCTATAAACATTATCATCTATTGGGACTAGTCACAACAACAACGTTGTGTACTAAAGGTCATAGTGTGTTGAGCGCAGTTTTAGTTGACAAGAACAGGCACATAAGTCATACAAGATTGGACTTAAATAGACAAGAACAGGCACATAAGTCATACAAGATTGGACTTAAATAGACAAGAACAGGCACATAAGTCATACAAGATTGGACTTAAATAGACAAGAACAGGCACATAAGTCATACAAGATTGGACTTAAATAGACAAGAACAGGCACATAAGTCATACAAGATTGGACTTAAATAGACAAGAACAGGCACATAAGTCATACAAGATTGGACTTAAATAGACAAGAACAGGCACATAAAATTATTTCATAAACGTTTGGACTGCCAATCGATTACACTTTGAGTTTGTAATCCAGAATTTCAGCGGTATTCATCAGATCTAACTTCAGTTTACGGAGAGGGGGGATGTTACCATCTATGGCATTAACATTTACTACACATTTCATACCAATGTAGCATTGGTATTTACTATACTTGTCATATATATATTACATTAACATTTATTACACATTTCATACCAATGTTGCATTAACATTTACTACACATGCCATGCAATGTGGCATTGGCATTTACTACACACGCCATACCGATGTGGCATTGACATTTACTACACGTGTCATACCAATGCCCCTGATTGATGTTAGTTGTAGGCGAGTGAGTACGTTGATGCTGACCTGTGGCTAACCTCTGGGGTCAGATCAGCCCGAATTAGACGTCTATGTCCAGTCAATGAGCCTTGACCGAGTGAACAATGGGGGGAGGGGAGCAGGGGGAGATTCGGTACAGACAGCCTAGCCGACACTGGTGATTAACTAGAAAAGAAATAGGTCGCTTACAGAATACCGTCCTAGGATTCTCTGTCTTACAGATTGTAAGACTCAAGATCTTTCTTTCTCTCAGGGATTAAGGGGCATGGGATAATTAGATTGTTGGGCCTAGGATATTTCTGTCTCTCCCAGATTGTGGGGCCTGGGATATTTCTGTCTCTCCCAGATTGTGGGCCTGGGATATTTAGATCTATCCCAGATTGTGGGGCCTGGGATATTTAGATCTATCCCAGATTGTGGGGCCTGGGATATTTAGATCTCACACAGATTGTGGGGCATAGAATAATTCAGTCTCTAACAGATTGTGGGCCAGATATAATGTGTCTGTATATTTAACAAGAGAAGTGTCTAAATCAAAATTGTGAACATTTTACAAGAGAAGTGTCTAAATCAAAATTGAAAACAGTTTATAAGATCTATATTATAAATTGTGAACATTTAACAAAAGAAGTGTATGGTATAACTTTCTTGAGAAAATACAGCAGTAATCACTTTTTATCCCTAGGTGCCATAGCTACCCTTGAATGCTTTCATCTTAAAAGAAACCAATTCCTTATTTTTTTTCTCTACGACGCATGGTACACAACTTAGTACAGTTCTTCCACTCTATCGTTTTAGTGGTATTACTTTTGATTATTACATTTGTGCTACTCTAATTTCAGAGTTCGCAGAGCGCACGTGCACAGAGAATGGCACCTGGTGGACGCACCCTGTCCACAACACCACCTGGACAAACTACAACTCCTGTGTCATACCCAGCTCAAAGACCGGAACTCAACCTACGGTAGGTGTAGTTCTGATTCGTTTAGCACCTGTGACTTTATACGTGATGAAGCTTGAATATAGATTTGGAATATTTCAAATTTTTTTTATTATGGCATTCTGAAAAAAAAACCTAGAATGTAACGTTTCAGATTATATTTAGGAAATGATCGTAAAATTTAATTTTTGTTAAAATCTGAACGTGAAATATCTCATGGTTATAAGGTGAAGTGTTTTCATAACCTTATGACAATCAAAATACATTTCAGTTGTGATACAGAAATCAAATGAGGGAAAAATAAACTTAATAAAAATTGAATCTCTAGTCTTCTTGTAGGTTTTACATCTGAAAATGTCATTACGTGGTTTGTGTTACTATACATGGCTGCTATACAGAAAATATTGCATCTGGTAAAGTAGAAGATCTCCGTCTCTACTCAGCTCTTATGGGTACCTGGCTTTAGTTGAGGAAAGTAAAGACTGTTGAGTTGTGTGATCAGCTCTAATGGGTACCTGGCTTTAGTTGGGGAAAGTAACGACTGTTGAGTTGTATGATCAGCTCTAATGGGTACCTGGCTTTAGTTTGAGGAAAGTAAAGACTGTTGAGTTGTGTGATCAGCTCTAATGGGTACCTGGCTTTAGTTGAGGAAAGTAAAGACTGTTGAGTTGTGTGGTCAGCTCTGTGTCTGATATACAAAATAATTCTAAGAACAGGTGGTTTATTTTGGGATAAAAGCTTGATGGAAGCAGTATTTCAATTTTTCTGCTTTTCTTTTGCAAGTACACAATTACAAAGATAGACTGGTTAAAACAAGGTACTAAGTTTGTATGTTCTTGTTTCAGATTGAGGCTCACAATCTGGTGCTGTTGTATACTGTAGGATACAGCGTATCGCTGGCGTCTTTAATTGTAGCTGTGGTCATTATGTTATATTGGAGGTAGGTGTATGGTCATTATGTTGCGCAGGGGAGATAAAGTAAGTAAAGTTTCCCTTTCCAACCTGACGGTCTATGGGGCAAGTGAAGTAGAGTTCACTTGTTTCTGTGACCTCAGCATATGAAGAGATAGTGTTGTCAGCACTATGCCCAGCCGCCTTTACTTTCCCTAACGTGAGTTAGGTACCCATCAGAGTTGGGTGGACTCAGGGACGGTCTACTGACTTGAACCCAGAGTCCAGCTCTCTACCGCTAGACCACTCCGTCCGCAGGGGAGGAGAGTGGTCATTATGTTGTACTGGAGGTAGTGGAGGAGAGTGGTCATTGAGTTACGTTTGAGGCAAGGGGTTGGCAGTGGTCATTATGTTAAATTTGAGGTAGGGGTTGGCGGTGGTCATTGAATGCCTTAACCCTACACCATTAATCAAAAAGTCTATTCTGTATTTTTGACTTCATATATTTAAACCTGGATGTTTTAACCTAAAATCAATACAACCTGTACGTTTTTTTAACTAACCCTTAAACCCTGCATATTTTAACCTTCACCGTCATCTTTGTTCCCCCCCCCCCCCCCATGTTATCTACTTGCAGACGACTCCACTGTAAGAGCAACACCCTGCACATCAACCTCTTCATGGCATTCATCCTCAGGGCCTCCATGTCCTTCATGAAGGACCGCCTCTTTGTTGGGGGTCTGGGGCTGCCTCAGGACGTCCGGCGGGGGGAGGAGGGGAAGCTCATATTCCTCGAGGAGGGACCGGTAAGAGAGTACTGACCTGCTCACTTTCAAGTTCATATGAGTAACCTGGCTATTTTTAGCCGTCTTTTTTTTTTCTTTTTTTTTCTTTTTTTTTCATGGGGTAGAATTTAATTTTAGGAAGTATTTAGTAAGAAAATATCTGAAACATTGGCACAATTGTCCATTGAAGTATTGGCACCGTTTCGTACTGGAACATTGACGCGCTTTTATTTCGAAGCATCACTGTTTTTTTTTTATTAGAGTCCTGGGACACTGCTTCAGTGTGAACCAGATTTAGGGCCACAATGAAACCTTGACTGTGTCTAGACATCCAAAGTACAAGGATCACTCACTACTTAAAATAAAATCTAATTACTCCGTAAAAAAAAGGCCTCTGAGAAAATGGCTTCATAGTTTTTAAGCTCTACCAAGATGATACAACTTCTTTACATTAGCAGTTTGATTTAAAAAAAACAACTTAATTAATTGTAATGAAAATAAACCGGGAGTGATCTCCCCTAAACTTTCTCGAATATTCTAATATAACACTACAGGGGATGGCAACTCGGGATATAGACTTCTAGACATGATTTTTAATCCATTTTAAATACCACATTTCTTAAAATAGAATACGAGAAAAATGGCCCGTTGAGGAAGGATACACCGGGCGCTAGGTTGATAGTGCTGTCTCTTTTCTCTAAACTAAAACCAACCCCCCCCCCCCCACACACCACCCCCACCCCACCCCACCCCCCACACACCACCCCCCACCCCCACCCCCCACCCCCCACACACACCACCCCCTCCACACACCGCCCCCCCCCACACACCACCCCCCCCCCCACCCCTCCACCCCCCCCCCCCCCCCCCCAAAAAAAAAACATGCCTACCGTCCCATTCAACGAAATATAATTATATACTTTTTCCAGTGTCCGCCCCTTCCCCGAAAATTCTACCCCCGCCCCCGAAAATTTCAAGTACCCCCACCCCTCTCTGGGGAGGAAAAAGTCTAAACTAAAACCACCCCACCCCCCACACACACCACCCCCCCCCCCCCAAAAAAAAAACATGTCTACCGTCCCATTCAACGAAATATAATTATATACTTTTTCCAGTGTCCGCCCCCCTCCCCGAGGGGGGGGGGGCTCAGACGTTCTTACGCGGGGGGTGGGGCTTCGCCCCTACCCGAAGAATTGTATGCAAGAAACTCTTCACGCAAACCATTAAGATTAGACAACATTTCCTTTTTATTCAATGTTAACGCGAAAATCAATGACGTCATATAACTTTGAGCACTCTCTGGGTTTGAGATTATTTTCTACTCTGTGCGCTAAATGTGTCGACGTCATACTTCGTTTTTCGAAATACTATGCATGTTTTTATTTTCTTTGTGTTTTCTCTAGAGCGTTCTTGTCAGATAGATAGATAGACAGACAGCGAAACTATTAGTATTAACGAGAAAAATGGCCCGTTGAGGAAGGATACACCGGGCGCTAGGTTGATAGTGCTGTCTCTTTTCTCTAAACTAAAACCAACCCACCCCCCACACACCACCCCCCACCCCACACACCACCCCCCACCCCCACCCCCCACACACACCACCCCCTCCACACACCGCCCCCCCCCCCACCCCTCCACCCCCCCCCCTCTCCACCCCCACCCCCCAAAAAAAACATGTCTACCGTCCAATTCAACGAAATATAATTATATACTTTTTCCAGTGTCCGCCCCCTCCCAGAAAATTCTACCCCCGCCCCCGAAAATTTCAATTACCCCCACCCCTCTCCGGGGAGGAAAAACTCTGAAAGAAACACTGAAACCAACCCACCCCCCACCCCCCACCCCCACACCCCCCCACCCCCCCACACACACCACCACCCCCCCCCCCCCACCCCTCCACACCCCCCCCCCCAAAAAAAAACATGTCTACCGTCCCATTCAACGAAATATAATTATATACTTTTTCCAGTGTCCGCCCCCTCCCAGAAAATTCTACCCCCCGCCCCCGAAAATTTCAAGTACCCCCACCCCTCTCCGGGGAGGAAAAAGTCTGAAAGAAACACTGAAACCAACCCCCCCCCCCCACCCCCCACCCCCCACACCACCCCCCCCCCGCCCCTCCACCCCCCCCCCCACACACACACACCACCCCCCCCCCCCCCCCCTCCACCCCCCCCCCCCCCCCCCCAAAAAAAACAACATGTCTACCGTCCCATTGCAAGAAAACCACTTTTAAGATTAGACACATTAATTAGGCGGTAATTTTATTATAGAGTATCGATGAGGAAATTTCTTTTGAGTTGGGGAGGGGGGGGGGGGCTCAGACGTTCTTACGCGGGGGTGGGGCTTCGCCCCTACCCGAAGAATTGTATGAAAGAAACTCTTCACGCAAACCACTTAGATTAGACCAAATTGCCTTTGTATTGAATATCGATAATCAATGACGTCATATCAATGTGTGCACTATCCGGCTTGAGATTATTTTCTACTCTGTGCGCTAAATGTGTTTTTCGAATTACTATGCATGTTTTTATTTTCCTTGTGTTTTCTCTAGAGCGTTCTTGTCAGACAGATAGATAGATAGATAGATAGATAGATAGAGAGACAGCGAAACTATTATTATAGATAATCTCGTAGAAAAAAGAAATGCACACCAAGTGAACGCTAAATAAAAAAGCGCATAATAGTGCGCAATATTATTAGTACTTTATAAATTTACATGCGTTTTTTGAGAAATCGGAAATAGCGTAAATAAGTACTTCCGGTCAACGGAAATTACTCAAAATTTGACAGAAGGTAGAGAATTAGCTTTTTTACTTACATATCAAATTTCAATTATCTATCTGAAATAGTACTCAAGTTATAGGCTTTTGAAAAATTCAAAGTAGAAAAAGTACCACTTCCGGTTATCGGAATTCGCTCAAAAGTTGATACGGATCTACGATGTTGATAAAATACTTATATATGAAATTTCATCAACCTAGCTGTAACGGTACTCAAGTAATCGTGTTTACACACGGACACATGGACACACAGACACACAGACACACACACACACAGACATACGGACAAGATTGCAAAATTATGTTTTTCCGTATCAGTGAGGTGTAAAACGTCGAGATTTGAAAAAATCTCGATTTTTTTTTTTTGCACGATTACAATACTTTCTCCATACTACGTATATACGAGAAAGTAAAAAGGCTTTATCGCTAATCTTAATCCTGAACCTCTACATTAAACTATTTATTTCTTTAACTTGTGTACGATTTTAATTTCTCGTATACAAAGTATTGAGGGAGGATTGTAATTGTGATGAGTAATGTACGAGTTTTTGAAAATTTTTACACGGTTAAACCTCCCTATTTTATTGTACACGGAATATAAAGGATCCATTTAATTGTGAAAAAAAAAATCTAATTTTGAAATATTTTTTTTTTACATTTTATCAGCAGCCGGAAAAAAGTATGTTTCTAATCCTGTTTTGTGTGTGTGTACGTGTGTGTATGAAAGTGTTGGTGTATATGTGTGTTTATATGTATGTTTGTGTGGGGGGGGGGGGGTAAACAAGATAACGTGAGTACCGTTTCAGTTAGGTTGACGAAATTTCATTTGGAGGTACTATAACAAATTTGTAGTTTTCTTTTTTTCTTTATGATATTATACTATTAATGCATTCATCATGACTTCCTACATTTTATATACATTAAGAAATTCTACATTCTTGTATACATCATTATATCCTACATGAATACATCATGATATTATGTATAAATTATGATATCCTTCATTATTGTATACATTATATTATACTTATTATGCATACATCATGTTAATATACATTTGTATATCATGATATCTTACATGGTATGTAAACATCATGATATCCTACTTTCTTGTATAAATATCAGCATGCCACTGTAATGACAGGCGGAAGTTTTCCAGAAAGACACTTGCCTGAATGGGACAAATGCCCGAAAGCCACTTGCCCATTCGGACAATTGTCCATTCGGGCAAGTGTCTTTCGGGCCTTTTGTCGTAAACCCCGATCCTAATATTCAGTCATCTATCTATATCTACATCTGATTATCTTCATACTTACATACTTATCTAAAGTCCACACCAGATCACATTCCCCACCACTCTCCTCCCCTCATACTTATCTAAAGTCCACACCAGACCACATTCCCCACACCTCTCCTCCCCTCATACTTATCTAAAGTCCACACCAGACCACATTCCCCACCCCTCTCCTCCCCTCATATTTATCTAAAGTCCACACCAGACCACATTCCCCACCACTCTCCTCCCCTCATACTTATCTAACGTCCACACCAGATCACATTCCCCACCCCTACCCTCCCCTCATACTTATCTAAAGTCCACACCAGATCACATTCCCCACCCCTCTCCTCCCCTCATACTTATCTAACGTCCACACCAGATCACATTCCCCACCCCTACCCTCCCCTCATACTTATCTAAAGTCCACACCAGATCACATTCCCCACCCCTACCCTCCCCTCATACTTATCTAAAGTCCACACCAGATCACATTCCCCACCCCTACCCTCCCCTCATACTTATCTAAAGTCCACACCAGATCACATTCCCCACCCCTACCCTCCCCTCATACTTATCTAACGTCCACACCAGATCACATTCCCCACCCCTACCCTCCCCTCATACTTATCTAAAGTCCACACCAGATCACATTCCCCACCCCTACCCTCCCCTCATACTTATCTAACGTCCACACCAGATCACATTCCCCACCCCTACCCTCCCCTCATACTTATCTAACGTCCACACCAGATCACATTCCCCACCCCTACCCTCCCCTCATACTTATCTAAAGTCCACACCAGATCACATTCCCCACCCCTACCCTCCCCTCATACTTATCTAACGTCCACACCAGACCACATTCCCCACCCCTACCCTCCCCTCATACTTATCTAACGTCCACACCAGATCACATTCCCCACCCCTACCCTCCCCTCATACTTATCTAAAGTCCACACCAGATCACATTCCCCACCCCTACCCTCCCCTCATACTTATCTAAAGTCCACACCAGATCACATTCCCCACCCCTACCCTCCCCTCATACTTATCTAAAGTCCACACCAGATCACATTCCCCACCCCTACCCTCCCCTCATACTTATCTAACGTCCACACCAGATCACATTCCCCACCACTCTCCTCCCCTCATACTTATCTAAAGTCCACACCAGATCACATTCCCCACCCCTACCCTCCCCTCATACTTATCTAACGTCCACACCAGATCACATTCCCCACCCCTACCCTCCCCTCATACTTATCTAACGTCCACACCAGATCACATTCCCCACCCCTACCCTCCCCTCATACTTATCTAAAGTCCACACCAGATCACATTCCCCACCCCTACCCTCCCCTCATACTTATCTAACGTCCACACCAGACCACATTCCCCACCACTACCCTCCCCTCATACTTATCTAACGTCCACACCAGATCACATTCCCCACCCCTACCCTCCCCTCATACTTATCTAAAGTCCACACCAGATCACATTCCCCACCCCTACCCTCCCCTCATACTTATCTAAAGTCCACACCAGATCACATTCCCCACCCCTACCCTCCCCTCATACTTATCTAAAGTCCACACCAGACAACATTCCCCACCCCTCTCCTCCCGTCCCCAGCACTGGGAGTGCCGGACTCTCTTCGTCCTCCTCATGTTCGCCATCTCAGCCAGCCAAACCTGGATGCTGATGGAGGGACTCTACCTGTACCTGCTTGTACACAAAACCATGGCAACAGAACGGCTTGGCGTCAAACCCTACATCGTCCTCGGATGGGGTGAGCCGTTAAAATTTGCTTCCGTCTTCTGATTTCATCGTCATCGCTATCACATACCGCAGCAAATAATTGTTTTCATCATCTTTTTTCATCGTCGGCTCCATCATATACCGCAGCAAATAATTGTTTTCATCTTCTTATTTTGGGGTCGGCATGGTCGAGTCGGTAAAGCTCATGGTTGCTAAACCGAAAAATCTCGAGTTCGAACCCTGGGGCAGATAAGGCTCGTTAGCTGGGGAATCAGCCATTCTTCTAGGAGAGACAATTCCAAAATCAAACAACTGCTGCCTTGTAGTATGTTCTTGGTTGGACAAAGGCTATGGAAGCAAATCCAAAAAGAAAAGCGGGCTGGAATCGGAGTCAATGGCCTCAATGGCGCATAACCAGTTGACACGTATCCTTAATTGTGTTAGAGGGGGATTATTTCCAACACTAAAATTAAGAACGAAGAAGAAGAAGAATCTTGTTATTTCATCGCATACTGCAGCAAATAATTGTTTTCATCTTATTTCATCGTCGGCTATATCACATACCGCAGCAAATAATTGTTCTCATCATCTTATTTCATCGTCATCTCCTTCACAACCGCAGCAAATAATTGTTCTCATCATCTTATTTCATCGTCATCTCCTTCACAACCGCAGCAAATAATTGTTTTCATCTTATTTCATCGTCATCGCTATCACATACCGCAGCAAATGTGGGGGCCATTTTGCGGATAATCATACCGTCAAAGCACTACTACGCGTAATAAGCTAAGGGATTTTGGGAATACGCCACGACAGATATACATTAATCAATCAATTTTTTCTGTCCTTCAACACTGCGCTGTAGAACGGTGTGATGGCGTACCGAGTGAACTTGTACTGGTAATAGTTTGTTTAAACTTCACGTGGTGGTGTAAATCCTGCGGGATGGTAGTATCAGACTCTACGTCAGAGTGGAGAATCTGCGTGGTATCATTAGCAAACTCTACGTCATAGTGGACAATCTGTCATGCATCATTATCAAACTCTACGTCATAGAGAAAAATTCTGCTATATATGATCATCAAAATTGACGTCATAGTTGAAAATTCTGCATGGTATCATTATCCAAAAGTACGTCATAGTTTCGATTCCGCGTGATATCATTAGTTTTGTAGCATATAAAGCACGGGTATTAAATTTTATTTTTTTGTGAAATTGTTGATACATTAGTCTATACACATGAGGATTTTGGTCAAAGAATGTAAAAAACTTGTATCAGCGTACATTTGAATCAGGCGGACTCTAACTTTTGAGTTTTGTTTATTACAGTTTTGCCGTGGACGTTTTTAATCCCATGGATTGTTATCAAGGCGGTCTTTGAAAACGAACTGTAAGTATGTTAAGTTTGATAGCCCAATACAACTACTGTATATTATTATAGATCAATAAACTGTGTGTAAGTTTGATAGATCAATAAATTGTGTGTAAGTTTGATAGATCATTACACTGTGTGTACGTTTGATAGATCAATACAATATATGTGTTTGATAGATCAATACCACTACTGTGTATTAGATCAATACACCGGATGTGATTTCAATAAATCAGTACACGTGTATTATTTACAAACAGAAGTTCGATTATAGATTACACTGATACACGTAATATACTAAAACAAAATGCCTGTTCTTGGTATAAATGTATTAAAATGTAAAAAAAAAATGTTATTAAATCATAGATGGACTTGAAATTAAGCTACTGCAAATAAAATGACTTTCCTTCTCTCGTAGGTGCTGGAATATGCAGTACAATGCCGGGTACTTTTGGGTGATGAAAGGTCCATGGACAGCCATCGTTGTTGTAAGTTACATATTGTGTTGGTCACTTAACTTAATTTCTTGTTTTTCTGTTGATTTGTTTGTGGTTGTAAGTTAGATCTTGTGTTCGTCACCACACATACTTTCTTGTTGGTATGTTGGTTCGTTTGTGGTCTGCTCAAATGTATTTTTATATTTTAATTGGTCATACAATTACAACAATGTAACTAACTCGTGCTTATGTTAATATACACAGTCAAAAAAGTACAACCGTTGAAGCAAAAATGTATTTGTATTGAAATTTAAACAAAGTAGGCCTACTTTTCCGAAATTTGAATATTTTGTCGAAATTAAAACAAACACATGAACTTTATTTATGTATATTAAACGATATAATATAACTAAGACAAGCATTTTATACGACAGTTTAATATAGCATTACAACAATTGCAACCTTTTACTTATGAATTAAGTTTTTTTCTTGTCTTGTTCATTTTACTTAACACACTCCTTTCTCTGGCTGTTCCAACAGAAGTATCTCCCCCCCCCACCCCTTGTAATGTACACAACAGTACTGACAACGAAGGAGTTTTTGTTTGTCAAACCAAATCTGATTTGTTGGTCATAAAATAATCAGATTTTCTTCTCAGGAAAAATAAAATCAGATTTAAAATATCTAATTATTTCCCATTTACAAAAAAATAAAAAAAACTTTGTCTAAGCACGTGAGCAAGGTCATGGTTACCAAAAGTTCAAGGTTATCCTAAAGTAATGTTAAGGCAAATGCTCTAGGCCAGGGGTCTCCAAACCTTTCAGCCCGAGGGCCGCATTAACTATCAAATATAAGTAAGGGGGGGGGGGGGGTCAGAGTTTCTTCCAGGCATCTTATTGGGGTGGCATTTTTCCGCAGCCACCTACAACAGACATTTTTTTCCGTGGACAAAAAGATCTCCGAGGGCCGGATAAGAGGACTTTGCGGGCCGTATTCGGCCCTCGGGCCGTAGTTTGGAGACCCTTGCTCTAGTCCAACAAAAGTGGCCCCCATCTCAAGGCTATCTGCAGCAAACATCACACAACATATCCATACAATTTGTACAGTGAAAACATGTGTTATCTCCCTCCCTAGTTTCAACCATTGCACTTTAATTTTGTTTCTTAAAAGATATCAGAATTTTTAATTTATTCATGTAGTAAGCTTATGAAATGTTAAAATAAATTGGCATTAAATTAGTTTTATGGGACTACTTTAGAGTAATAACAAATACACAGACAAACAATTAAAAAAACAATAAAGAGTGTCTTGTTAGACAAACACATCAACACCATTTATGCACCTATGGTATAGTTTATAATCGAAATTTTAATTTACATATAATTTTGCTTACAGCATAGTACGGAATTACACTATTCTAATAAGCTACCTTAGTTTCAGTACTTTAGCGAGTTACAATAGGAGGTTTATGGTTATTGATTTTGTAATTAAGGTTCGTGTGGAATGGGGGGGGGGGGAGGGAAGGATTGTTCAAACACAAAAATTCTAATGATTTTCTTTTCAACCCACCATGCAAGTTCATGATTTTGTCCCTGGCATAAGAAGGGATTGTGATTACTACCCTATGCACAAAACGCTAGCTGTTGAAAAATAAAACTGATTGGCAAGATATGATCAACTGCGCAGCAGTTTAAAATTTCCAACAAAACGAAATCAAAACAACTCCACCCAGTTAATTAAAATAGTTTTTTTCTACTAATGAGGCTTTGATTAAGATGGACGAGCTGTCGGCTGGGTAAAAATGTAATGAAAGAGAACCGGAAGTAAAGGGAGGCTAGACACTGGGACCGGTATTGGCGTGGTCGGGTCGTTTCTCCAGTGATGTCCCTGGTGGGTTCGACCTGTCAGACGTTCAAACTTTAGTCAACAGCCCAAGACGTTATTGGTCGTCGTCATTTACATTAGGATAATTAGTCAAATACCTTCCGTAAACAGACTTTAAAATAATGGGCTGTTTTGGTTTGACGTTAGGGTAATTAGTCAAATACCTTCCGTAAACAATCTTTAATATATTGGACTGTTTTGGTTAACACTAGGGTAATTTGTCAAATAACTTACTCCACGAGCAGTTCAAATATTGCGAGGTTACTGTTAACTTTAGATGTTTAGTCAAATAACTTCAGTCAACAGCAGTTAACATATTGCATTGTTGTTGCTGTTAACTTGCTATATATAGTAAAATAACCTCAGTCAATAAAAGTTACAAATATTGCATTGTTGTTGTTAACTTTAGATATTTAGTCAAATAACTTCAGTCAACAGCAGTTAAAATATTGCCTGGTTGTTGCTAACTTTAGATATTTAGTCAAATAACTTCATTCAACAGCAGTTAAAATATTGCATGGTTGTTGCTAACTTTAGATATTTAGTCAAAGAACTTCAGTCAACAGCAGTTAAATTAGTTAAAATATTCCATGGTTGTTGCTAACTTTAGATATTTAGTCAAATAACTCCAGTCAACAGCAGTTAAAATATTGCATGGTTGTTGTTAACTTTAGATATTTAGTCAAAGAACTTCAGTCAACAGCAGTTAAATTAGTTAAAATATTCCATGGTTGTTGCTAACTTTAGATATTTAGTCAAATAACTCCAGTCAACAACAGTTAAAATATTGCGCGGTTGTTGCTAACTTTAGATATTTAGTTGACCCTGCCGTGTTCCAACGACTGATCTCTGTATCTGTTTGCTCTAGGTATCAGTGCGGTCACTACTCTGTGGCCGGGCTAATAGTTCATTACCGCTCTAATCAATAACCCATGCTTGACACCTGATGAGCTTAACACCGTTTCTCTATGTCTCGGGAACTAGATCAAATGATACGACTTTTAATCCTAAAAATGGACGTGGAAAATGTCTTAAAGAATTCTTTAAAAGTCAACCCTTGTATGCACGCCTATGATATGTCTTTGTATTTCATTTTTATTACATTTCTTAATTAATAATTTAAATCTAAAAATGATATTCATATAAATGCTACGCCTTTGACGTTCGTGTAACTGTGCACACGTTGTTATTGTAGACGCCCATGTATTTCAATTACACTTGTTTTGATAATGCCACCAACTGTTGTCGCATACTACGACAAATAATTTATAAAATAATTAATCAAGTCAAATATATAACACCATTGCTTTCATAATTGTACAGGTGTCATTTTGTTTTGAAACAGCCATTATATTATACCACCCCACAAGTAATAATTAGTGCACCATTAATTAGAATACTGCTAACTGCTATAACTTAGCAATATACATACTTACATAACCGCTGCTAATCAAACAACTAAATGACGTAACCACCCACCATAAACCCGTACATTTGAGCGACAGAATCCATACAAACTAGAAACAAATTATTCCAGTCTAATGAAGAACTACCTAGTGAGAGCACGCGAATTAGGTAATTACTTTGTCTTTTTTTAGGTCAATTGTCTCTCTCTCCTCGACCCCATTCATGTTTTAGTTTTTCTTAAAATCGTCCTGCTTATCATTTCTTCATTTCTCTCTTTATACAATTCCTTTTCAATGCTATTCCAAATTCTCTTTTCAGCACAAATCAACTTGTTCTTCTTCATGGACATTATAGATGTTTCTAGTTGATGTTTTTGTAAATCCTCAATGTTGTTCCACTTTCTCTATTCACCACAGATCAACTTTTTCTTCTTCATGGACATCATACGAGTCCTGGTCACTCGTGTCCGCAACAACCAACGTCACGTGGGGAGGTCACAGTACAGGTATGTTAGGTCACAGTACAGGTATGTTAGGTCACTTGATGTAGGTCACTTTACTGGTATGTTAGGTCACCTTACAGGTATGTTAGGTCATTTAGGTCACAGTACAAGAATGTTAGGTCATTTCATGTAGGTCACAGTACAGGTATGTTAGGTCATTTCATGTAGGTCACACTACAGGTATGTTAGGTCACTTCATGTAGGTCACACTACAGGTATGTTAGGTCGCTTCATGTAGGTCACAGTACAGGTATGTTAGGTCGCTTCATGTAGGTCACAGTACAGGTATGTTAGGTCACTTCATGGAGGTCACAGTACAGGTATGTTAGGTCACTTCATGTAGGTCACAGTACCGGTATGTTAGGTCACAGTACAGGTATGTTAGGTAACAGTACAGGTATGTTAGGTCACTTCATGTAGGTCACACTACAGGTATGTTAGGTCGTTTCATGTAGGTCACAGTACAGGTATGTTAGGTCACTTCATGTAGGTCACAGTACAGGTATGTTAGGTCATTTCATGGAGGTGACAGCACAGGTATGTTAGGTCGTTTCATGTAGGTCACAGTACAGGTATGTTAGGTCATTTCATGTAGGTCACAGTACAGGTATGTTAGGTCACAGTACAGGTATGTTAGGTCATTTTATGTAGGTCACAGTACCGGTATGTTAGGTCACTTCATATAGGTCACACTACAGGTATGTTAGGTCACAGTACAGGTATGTTAGGTCACAGTACAGGTATGTTAGGTCACAGTACAGGTATGTTAGGTCACAGTACAGGTATGTTAGGTCACAGTAAAGGTATGTTAGGTCACAGTACAGGTATGTTAGGTCACAGTACAGGTATGTTAGGTCACTTCATGTAGGTCACAGTACAGGTATGTTAGGTCACTTCATGTAGGTCACTTTACTGGTATGTTAGGTCACAGTACAGGTATGTTAGGTCATTTAGGTCACAGTACAGGTATGTTAGGTCACAGTACAGGTATGTTAGGTCATTTAGGTCATAGTACAGGTATGTTAGGTCACAGTACAGGTATGTTAGGTAACAGTACAGGTATGTTAGGTCACAGTACAGGTATGTTAGGTCACAGTACAGGTATGTTAGGTCACTTCATGTAGGTCACTTTACTGGTATGTTAGGTCACAGTACAGGTATGTTAGGTCACAGTACAGGTATGTTAGGTCACTTAATGTAAGTCACAGTACAGGTATGTTAGGTCACTTCATGTAGGTCACAGTACAGGTATGTTAGGTCACTTCATGTAGGTCACTTTACTGGTATGTTAGGTCACAGTACAGGTATGTTAGGTCATTTAGGTCACAGTACAGGTATGTTAGGTCACAGTACAGGTATGTTAGGTCATTTAGGTCATAGTACAGGTATGTTAGGTCACAGTACAGGTATGTTAGGTAACAGTACAGGTATGTTAGGTCACAGTACAGGTATGTTAGGTCACAGTACAGGTATGTTAGGTCACTTCATGTATGTCACTTTACTGGTATGTTATGTCACAGTACAGGTATGTTAGGTCACAGTACAGGTATGTTAGGTCACTTAATGTAAGTCACAGTACAGGTATGTAAGGTCACTTCATGTAGGTCACAGTACAGGTATGTTAGGTCACAGTACAGGTATGTTAGGTCACTTCATGTAGGTCACAGTACCGGTATGTTAGGTCACAGTACAGGTATGTTAGGTCACAGTACAGGTATGTTAGGTCACTTCATGTAGGTCACACTACAGGTATGTTAGGTCACTTCATGTAGGTCACAGTACAGGTATGTTAGGTCACATCATGTAGGTCACAGTACAGGTAATTCATGTTGAACCCAATCATATGCTGTCTTAATGTGTATTGTTTGAGATTCATATAGATTCTTATTTTTATTACCCGAGTTTTATTCCAAGATTCTAGAAAACAATCTTTATGAGATGAAACATACAAAATGGTTAAACAAGCATATTTTGTTTACAAGCATTACTTTTTTTATTTCATTACTTTCGTCTGATTCATTCTTAGTTAAATAGTGACAACACCATTGGTCAGATAAATTTATATCTTTAGAGCTTAACATCTTTATTTCTAACTCATCTATCAGATTGCAACAAACACGTAACCATTTCCTGTTGATTCGACGTTTTACTATTTCTTGTTTCAAACAGAAAGTTTGGCAAATTTATCCTAGTGCTAATCCCACTTTTTGGGATAATGTACATCGTCTTGAACGTCGCCTTCCCGTCAGAGGTCTACACCAAAGACTACAACGTCATTTACCTGTACGTTGAGATGGGGTACAATTCCTTTCAGGTAAATTGTCAGACTTACTTGTATGTCGAGATGGGGTACAATTCCTTTCAGCTAAATTATCAAACTTACTTGTATGTCGAGATGTGGTACAATTCATTTCAGGTAAATTATCAGACATCTACCTGTATGTCGAGATGGGGTACAATTCCTTTCAGGTAAATTATCAGACAACTACCTGTATGTCGAGATGGGGTACAATTCCTTTCAGGTAAATTATCAGACACCTGTACGTCGAGATGGGGTACAATTCCTTTCAGGTAAATTATCAGACAACTACCTGTATGTCGAGATGGGGTACAATTCCTTTCAGGTAAATTATCAGACACCTGTACGTCGAGATGGGGTACAATTCCTTTCAGGTAAATTATCAGACTTACCTGTACGTCGAGATGGGGTACAATTCCTTTCAGGTAAATTATCAGACACCTGTATGTCGAGATGGGGTACAATTCCTTTCAGGTAAATTATCAGACTTACCTGTACGTCGAGATGGGGTACAATTCCTTTCAGGTAAATTATCAGACTTACCTGTACGTCGAGATGGGGTACAATTCCTTTCAGGTAATTTATCAGAATTCTACCTGTACGCCGAGATGGGGTACAATTTCTTTCAGGTAAATTATAAGACAACTACCTGTATGTCGAGATGGGATATAATTCCCATCTCAAACATGGAATAAAGTGTCATATTCAGCACTGGGTCGAATCTGTCTTAATTATCTTTCCATAATTACAGAGGCGTAGCGAGGGGGGGGGGGGCGGGCGGGGGAACATATGTCCCCGGGCGCCGACCTTAAGGGGCACCAAAATGGGTTGGAAAAATAAATTGAAAGCTTGAGGGGGGGGGGGGGTGCAAATCGAAAGTTTGTTCCCGGGCGCCGGGAAGAGTCGCTACGCCTCTGCATACTTATCTAAAGGTCACATCTTCCTTATTCCTAAATCCCGTTTATCTTAAAATTGAATTTCTTTTATTTGAGTGATGGGTTTTTAACTCAGTGAAATCTCCATTATTTCTGCACATTGTTTTTAGTTTTGCATGTGGATGGACATCATTTTTAAGACCGTAGTTTCGTCTCAGGGATTACTGATGAGATTAATACTTCCACAATACAACAGTTTTACACAACATGATAACGTGTTACACATTAGTAGAGGAATTGTGACACAACACCCTTTAGCTTTACTGAAAGGAAGACAACACCACCCCAAATAGACAGTTTTGAATGACGGGCTACCGTCATTTCTAGTGTAGACTTTTTCCCGGACTGATGATTGGAATGTCAATGAAAATCCGACTAAGGGCGCCATGGTAGTTTTCATCTTAGCGTGTTGAGCGGAGAAAATTGATTATTAAACAGGGCTGAAGGGTGTGGAGGGGTGTGGGCGTGGGGGAAAGGGCGGTCCTTAATTAAGTCGGATAAGTGCGAGGCGGACAAAATATTGAGACCCATTATCAGAGAATTTTGGCTTAGTTCATATAGGGCTCTGGCTTGGATTTTAAAAAATATTTTTAACCAGCGGAGTTGTAGAGTCGGTAATTGTAGGAGTCACAGATTTAGGCGTCATGAAATCGACGTTTAAATAAACGAGTAAACCTTGTCTTCAGGCTAATTAGCAGAGTGGCTAGTTTTAAAATAACGAAAACGTTAATTAGACTATAAGGCTAATCCGATATACAAACCAGTGTGCGGATTCTTCAACCGGTTTTATTGTCGCTTAGACATTATCGCCTTATATATAATTTATATTTTATATATAATAATATGACATCCTTTGTTAAACCGCATGTGTAGTGTTGGACGATTTAAATTTTGTTTTAGTAACATTAAAAATGATTATCTTTGTACTAGCTAAAAATTCAAGCAATAATTCAACTATTATAGCGTCAGTCGTCAAGTCTTGCTCTGGTCTATTTAATTAATTTTTGTTTTGTTTTTCAGGGATTTATTTTGGCGCTGCTCTTCTGCTTTTTAAACGAGGATGTGAGTTCATTATTTTTTATTAACTTAAAATTAGCTGAAACCAGCTAAATTAGTATTGTTGCTTAATAAATAATTTTCAATTAAAAAAATATAGAAAGATGAAAATGAATGTCATGTGAAAATACAAATGCTTTTACGTAGCTTGGAATTTTTTATTTTAAATAAAGTTTTGTTTCGTATGCAAATTGTAGCTTCAAAGTTTTTAAAAATCCCCGCAGGTACATACAGAGATGAGGCGATCCTGGCAGCAGCATCGGTCCCGACGGTACAACAGCACCGTCTTCAACAGGTCGCTGGCCCAGAGCTCATGCCACCGCGCCTCCCGCTCCCCCGGGCCAAACTCTCCCGTCATACAGCGAAACTCCGACAGCGGCGGCAGCCGGAAGAAGTACAACATCCGGGATGTGGAGAGACCCCGGCTGCAGCAGTCTCTCTCCGTGCAGTCCACCTACCTCTCTTCGTCGGCCGCGTACCACGACGCCGACGGCACCTGCCACAGGTATAAAGCCTGCGCCGTCGGGGAGGTCAACTCTACTGCAGCCTGCCGTAACGGCAGCAACAATAACGTCAGCGCCACCAGCTGTAAAGGTGTCGGGTCTTGTGGTGAGGTTTCCACAAGCGTGTCGTTGATGCGGCGCCCCATGTCCAACACGTGTGTCAGTAGTGTGTGTCCGAATAAAGTGTGTCCGAATAAAGTGTGTACTAGTAAAGTGTGTACCAGTAAAGTGTGCTCCAGTAAGATGTACTCAAGTAAAGTATGTTCAAGTAAAGTATGTTCAAGTAAAGTAGGCCAAAGTGCGCTCAGCCTTTAATGATGACGGGAGTATTAAAACTTAATTGCTTATCCTAATGTTTATGTCTATATAAAAACTTCTTTTTCAAATTTAGGTTTTAAAAATACATTTTAAGCTTTACAAATTGATCTTTTATGCTTAATACAAATGATACGAAGCTGCAAATAAATAATCCTAAATTAGCAAGAGTTGGTGGGTGATGTGAAAGTCTGCATAGAAGATCTCTATCTCTGTATCAAAGCACAACAAAACGTTGGTTTTACAACATATTGTAGGACTATTTCAAAGCACATCACCCGAAACGTATGAAAGCACTTAAATTTGTGCTATCTCAAATCATTATGGCTATTTCAGTATCAAAGCACATTGAAAAGTTGGTTTTACAACATATTGTAGGACTATTTCAAAGCACATCACCCGAAACGTATGAAAGCACTTAAATTTGTGCTATCTCAAATCATTATGGCTATTTCAGTATCAAAGCACATTGAAAAGTTGGTTTTACAACATATTGTAGGGCTTTTCTAAGCACATCACCGGGAACGTATGACAACACATCAATTTGTGCTATTTCAAAGTGAATCAGTATGGCTATTTCAAAGCACCTCAGCCCGACGGTGTCAAAGCACTTCATCACTACTTTGACAAAGCACCTCATCACTATTGTGTCAAACTACAGCATTATGAATGCGCCAGAAGGATCTTACAAACAATTGAAACCAGTGATCTTGAAAACAATGTCTAGTTAGCTGTTGAATACACGGCTTATATTTGTAAAAAAAAATCTTTGTGAATGTGTAACTGGTGATTTCATGTTTTTCAATTTATCTTTGTTTTCTTTCTCCTCTCAACTCGAATAACATTCCTTTTAAAACAAGCAAACAAACGTGTTTACGTTTTTTTTCCTGATGTTTTAGATCAAGCATTAACATGTCAATGCTGATTGTAAGATTTCTGGTAAGATCTAGTGAGGTAGGCATTAAATGTTGTATCGTTTTGACTGGCAAAGCAACATTTATGGACTCTAAACAATTACTTCTGTTTTAAACCATTTTTGAAAATATTAAATAATTTACCGTACATTTAAACAAATAAAGGTTACTGACGCCAGCCTAAACTTTCTCTCAAACATAAAGGTTACTGACGCAAACATTGCCAGCTAAAACTCTCCCTTTAAAAGATGAGCACTCAAGACAAAAGCAATACATCAAGCGTACATACATGTTCCTGCACTATTTAACTTGTGTTTGCACACAATGCTGCTCTCGGTACAGACATTTAAATATGTGTATTATGTAAAACAGACAAGGAAAATATCAAACATACCTGTTAAGCCCAGTTTTTTTTTAATGTGTTGGTTTTCATAATGAGAGTTTTTTTTTCTAGAAAAAAACTGATGAAACTTGTGAGTAGATTACATCACATACGTGAAGTACATCTTGGTAGTAAGAATCACGTACACCCCCCCCCCCCCACCCCCAATAAGTTAAGTTAGGATACCCAACAAAAATTAAATATTCATGAAAGGAACCTCAGTCAGTTTTCGATATTCAAAGTATCTTTAGCTTCTCTAAGACGTTGATTTCTTTCAGTTTTCTCCATGAAAATGTAAGAAACCCACAGTTACACAATCGAATTGTAAGAAACCCAGACTTGCTTACACAATCCAATTGTAAGAAACCCACAGTTGTTCTAATGCGTCACACAAGGCAATCCTGTTCAATTATTATCATTGTTTCTGAATTTTTCAAAAGCCTATAACTTGAGTACTATTTCAGATAGATAAATAAAATTTCACGTGTTAGTAACAGATCTAATTCTCTACCTTCTGTCAAAATTTGAGTAATTTCCGTTGAGCGGAAGTACTAATTTACGCTATTTCCGATTTCTCAAAAAACGCATGTAGATTTATAAAGTACTAATAATATTGCGCACTATTATGCACGTTTGGTTTTGGCGTTCGATTGGTGCGCAATTCTCTTTTCTATGAGATTCTATTCTATTTTTAAAAGTTTAAGTAATTAAAAATCATGTCTACATTCCAAGTTATATAGGAATATTCGAGAAAGTTTAGGGGAAATCACTCCCGGTTTATTTGTCTCAATTGCATTGGTTAATAGAGAAAGTCTTTCGCAATTGGTGTTCAGAGAGATGAATCCATTTACTGAATAAAACATTTTTTTCTTGAAATTTTGCCAGGGCCTCCTTAATTGTTGTACCTTTAGAAAAGTTCCTTGTTTTTTTCAGGGGCGAAGATTTCTTACCTCGTTCAACTTGTGGATATCCAGGCAAATAATTATCTATATTTTAATCACTATTTTAATATAGAACATCGGACTGGACTTGCGTATGGTGTTATTAAATCTAGAAAAAACTGATGAAACTTGTGAGTAGATTACATCACACACGTGAAGTACATCTTGGTAGTAAGAATCACGTGGTTCCCAGAAAGAACCGCAACGGAAAAAAGCGCAACGGAAAAAGCGCAAATCAAAAAGCGCAACGGAAAAAAGCGCACACGGAAAAAAGCGCAAAGAGAAAAAAGCGCACACAGAAAAAAGCGCAAAAAGAAAAAAGCGCAAACGGAAAAAAGCGCAAAGAGAAAAAGGCGCACACAGAAAAAAGCGCAAAGAGAAAAAAGCGCAAACAGAAAAAAAGCGCTTTTTTCTCTTTGCGCTTTTTTCCGTTTGCGCTTTTTTCTCTTTGCGCTTTTTTCTGTGTGCGCCTTTTTCTCTTTGCGCTTTTTTCCGTTTGCGCTTTTTTCTCTTTGCGCTTTTTTCTGTGTGCGCTTTTTTCTCTTTGCGCTTTTTTTCGTGTGCGCTTTTTTCCGTTGCGCTTTTTGATTTGAGCTTTTTTCCGTTGCGCTTTTTTCCGTTGCGGTTCTTTCCGGCCACCGAATCACGTACATCGTAGCTTATGCACATTCATACTAAATATAGTCGTAGTCATACCCCTAAACCTTGCACCTAAGCTCAAACTTGACAAAAGTCGCATTCAGAGCTTCTTTCAGGGAACTCTTTGGTGGGGGGGGGGGGGGGCGGGGGGCGGATCGACCGAAGAACGTCTACCGCACCCAAAAACGAAATAGAATTTATATAGACAATATTCTTTTATCAGTGTTCGCCCCCTCCCCGGAAAATTCAGCCCGCCACCCCAAAAGTTGATATAATACTTATATAAAACGGTACTCAATACTTCCTATATACTTTGTATACGATAAAGTAAAAAGCTGAATGATAAAAAACAAAGAATTGAATAGAAATTCAAATATCCAGTGAAAGATGTTTTTCATTTGATTAAAACTATCTAAAAATCTGGAGCAAGAGAAGCTTTCCTTAGGTTAGATTTATATTTCCACAAAATTTGAACAGGCAAGTGGTTGTGACAAAATAAGATGTGACAGGATCAGACTTTGGTCCCCAAATTCTGAAGTGACACTGCAGGCTTTATCACACACCTCTGTGGATTAAAGAAACTCAGGGGGTGCGGGGTGGGTAAAGAAAAACTTCCTTGGGTTGAAGAGAAGTTGATATTGAAACACATTATAATCCCTACAACAACGATCTGGACAGACGCCACACAGCCGTTTCCACTATACCTTCTTCTTACAAAACCCCTCACAATTTAAACAATACTATATATATATATATATATATATATATATATATATATATATCTTCTTAGTTGAATAGTCTTGTTACAAATGTAGTTATATTTGATAACTTGTCCTAACACACCATTTGTATAATGTACACAGCGAGTCAATACTCTCTTGAAAAGATCGCCACCTTTCATAAAAAAAAAACCCTCTAGTATGCCAATGGTCGGTCAAACTGTATTCAGGTTTGATCCTAACAGACTCAGCAAGTGTGACAGGCAATAACCTAGGCCAGGGGTCGGCAACCTTTTGAGATGGAAGAGCCAAAATTTGCAAATTACAAAATTTCCCAATTTATCAAAGAGCCACTCACATTTTTCTTTCAATATTATGATCTTTGATTAGGATTAGGTATATATAAATATATATATATATATATATATATATATATATATATATATATATATATATATATATATATATATATATATATAAAGAAATAAATGTGTGTGTGTGTCTGTTTGTCTTATATTCATTTCTACACCCATAGGCGTCGCAAGGCGGGGGCCGGGGGTGCGGACCGCACCAGGTGACACTATATAGGGGGTGACACCGAGACAAAAAAAATGCAGATATATAGAATAAATATTTTTTGCCAGTTCAATAAATGATTAACTAGAAATAAAAAGTATTTTAAGTACATATTTATCCCCAAAAGTTTGTGTGTTTTGGGGGGGGGGAGACAACATGAGTTGCCGTACCGGGTGACACCCGACCTAGCGACGCCACTGACTACACCTTTCATCCGATCGCCATGAAACTTAAGGAGGTTGTTGAGAGGTATCTGCAAAAAAAGGCAAATTCGGTTGGCTCCCCGGCAGGGCGCTATTCGATTCTTCTCTGTATACGGTATATAAAAATAAAAGTCGATTGCGGATTGACACCTGGAGTACCCGTGAGCACCATGGCGGCTACGTTCATTTTAAACAGCGCGATAGGGTATGGATACAATGGGTTGCTATAGTCGCTCACTAAGTCGAATCAGGCGCGTCCTCCGGCGTCTCTGCAGGGTGCAATTTGGCGCCCAGGCTATTCCGCGAGTACTACACGCCTATGTTAGTTTTAAGAAGCACCCTACAATAATGATAATGCGGCACACAAAATTCGACTTTCCGTTTTCGACACTTAAGCGGAGAGTGATTAACAGCGATATTACGGTAAGTGATTAATGTACACTCAAGGCTTTTATATAGCACGCCCAATAGCTTGCTGGGCGGTAGTGTAGTTAAACCGATAAATATGATCCAAGCCCAGGCATTGTTTACATTTAAATAACTCAATTTTAGAAAACAAGGAAGTATACTGAAATAGGGAGTAACTAAATATTTTAATAGAATAGCAAGTGTTTATTGGTTATATGTATTATTATATCGTTCTTTACCGAGTGTTGCAGACTAATATTTTTATGAGTTTTAAAAATAAAAAATATTTTTTAACATTTGTCCAAGGAGCTAAAGAGCCGCATCTTGACATCAAAGGAGCCGCATGCGGCTCGCGAGCCGCAGGTTGCCGACCCCTGACCTAGGCGCTAGGGTACATTTCGTGTCTCTAAATACGATCACAACAGGCTTCGTCTACAGCACTTGCCAAGCCTGAGAAATTTCCCATACACACTTGAGAATAATCACTACATAAACGTTTCATGTGTTTCATTTCTTGATCCAGTTCTTGCATTATGTCGAATATAATTACTACACAACCCAATACATGCTCCAGATAAGTTTTTAAACTTTGTAGCTACACGCTAAAAAAGAAAAACTTTGACAATGTTGTAGAAAGATAACTGCCATAATCTGATTACTTAATACCACGGTAATGAACTATAAATAATAATTATAATATTAAAATATGCATTGTCTTTGTTAATTGTTTATTTTAAAAGTAATTTTATATTTTTGATTATGACAAAAAAATTCTTACCTGTGTACTTTAAAAAATAATTTTTAAATTATATAATAAGAAGAATGGTCTTTTTGTCATGTTTTTTTGTATCGTTTCTTTGTTTGTTGACTAAGATTTACAAAGGGAGCAAACTACCTCAGTAATTAGGTCTGAGTCTTACATATTTACTTCCCTTGAAACAAATACAGAGAATATGCTTAAAAAACTGGTTCCAAAACGTTCCCAATGTTTGTTGCTAGAAAGCATATTTTTTTCATATTTTATATTTTATAACATTGAGGCAAGAAATAGTCAAAGAAATAATTATTAATAATATAATAGTAATTTAGAGAACACTTTTATTTTTAATTTGGATTAGTAGAGTCAGGGTGTTGTGGTGATTGGGGGTGTTATATGATTTAATATAAATACAATACTAAGCTATACACCATAGACCTCTATTGTGTATTATAATATGGAAAACAGTTGATCTGACTTTTATTGTTTTACTCTCTAGCCATTCCGGTTGACTTCAAGCAGAGGTTGAGGGCATTTTTTGAATACACTTGAATTGATAAAAATAATTCTATACTATGGATAAAATTATGGAATAAAACTATGGGATAAAACTATGGGGTAACTATGGTTAAAAACTATGGGATAAAACTATGTGATAAAACTATGGGGAAACTATGGTTAAAAACTATGGGATAAAACTATGGGATAAAACTATGGGGTTAATCTATGGGATATAACTAAGGGATAAAACTATGGGATAAAACTATGGGTGTTAATATATGGGATAAAATATGGGATAAAACTCAACTGTAGGAAAAAACATTGTGATAAAACTGCATAAAGTTACATAACTGATAATCAGCCATTATTTGTGTAAATTAATTCAACATTATTTAATAGAACAAATACTGACAAGAATATAGTCCAAATTAACATCTATACCGAACAAATATTGACACGATTTCGAATGCCAAACAGGCAGTGGCGCTCGTACAATCAACCTATTACTTAGCACATTGGCCTAAATCAGCAAAATTCCAAATTACAAAAAAAAAAAACACTAGAATAAAAATGAAAGTCCAAGATTTAAGAGAATTTAAAGCTAAGATTATTTTAACATGAAATATATAAAATATAGATTAACTAATACTAAAGTACATAAAGACTACATAACATCACGATGTAGACGAAAGGTTTTAAAGCCTACATAACATCACGATGTAGACGAAAGGTTTTAAAGCCTACATAACATCACGATGTAGACGAAAGGCTAAAGCCTACATAACATCACGATGTAGAAAAAGGTTTTAAAGCCTACATAACATCACGATGTAGACGAAAGGCTAAAGCCTACATAACATCACGATGTAGAAAAAGGTTTTAAAGCCTACATAACATCACGATGTAGACGAAAGGCTAAAGCCTACATAACAATCACGATGTAGAAAAAGGTTTTAAAGCCTACATAACATCACGATGTAGACGAAAGGTTAAAGCCTACATAACATCACGATGTAGACGGGCTAAAGACTACTTAATATGACGATGTAGACGAAAGAGCTAAAGCCTACATAACATCACGATGTAGACGAAAGAGCTAAAGCCTACATAACATCACGATGTAGACGAAAGAGCTAAAGCCTACATAACATCACGATGTAGACGAAAAGTTTTAAAGCCTACATAACATCACGATGTAGACGAAAGGTTTTAAAGCCTACATAACATCACGATGTAGACGAAAGAGCTAAAGCCTACATAACATCACGATGTAGACGAAATAGCTAAAGCTTACATAACATCACGATGTAGACGAAAGAGCTAAAGACTACATAACATCACGATGTAGACGAAAGGTTTTAAAGACTACATAACATCACGATGTAGACGAAAGGTTTTAAAGCCTACATAACATCACGATGTAGACGAAAAGTTTTAAAGCCTACATAACATCACGATGTAGACGAAAGGTTTTAAAGCCTACATAACATCACGATGTAGACGAAAGAGCTAAAGCCTACATAACATCACGATGTAGACGAAATAGCTAAAGCTTACATAACATCACGATGTAGACGAAAGAGCTAAAGACTACATAACATCACGATGTAGACGAAAGGTTTTAAAGACTACATAACATCACGATGTAGACGAAAGGTTTTAAAGCCTACATAACATCACGATGTAGACGAAAAGTTTTAAAGCCTACATAACATCACGATGTAGACGAAAGGTTTTAAAGCCTACATAACATCACGATGTAGACGAAAGGCTAAAGCCTACATAACATCAATATGTAGACGAAAGAGCTAAAGCCTACATAACATCACAATGTAGACGAAAGGGTAAAGCCTACATAACATCACGATGTAGACGAAAGAGCTAAAGATTACATAACATCACGATGTAGACGAAAGAGCTAAAGCCTACATAACATCACGATGTAGACGAAAGAGCTAAAGCCTACATAACATCACGATGTAGACGAAAGAGCTAAAGGCTTCATAACATCACGATGTAGACGAAAGGTTTTAAAGCCTACATAACATCACGATGTAGACGAAAGGCTAAAGCCTACATAACATCAATATGTAGACGAAAGAGCTAAAGCCTACATAACATCACGATGTAGACGAAAGGCTAAAGCCTACATAACATCACGATGTAGACGAAAGGCTAAAGCCTACATAACATCACGATGTAGACGAAAGGCTAAAGCCTACATAACATCACGATGTAGACAAAAGGCTAAAGCCTACATAACATCACGATGTAGACGGGCTAAAGACTACATAACATCACGAAGTAGACGAAAGGCTAAAGCCTACATAACATCACGATGTAGACGGGCTAAAGACTACATAACATCACGAAGTAGACGAAAGGCTAAAGCCTACATAACATCACGATGTAGACGGGCTTAAGACTACATAATATCACGATGTAGACGGGCTTAAGACTACATAATATGACGATGTAGATTGTAGACGGAAGGGGTCAAGACTATCCCCCCTCCCCCACTACACCGATGTTGAAGACCGTGTCAATGTCTCCACCGTCTCCTCAACCTTCTCCGGCTCCACCCATACATAATGCGCCTCGATTATCCTCGGGAGCTCCGGTTCTGGCTCCTTATACGGGTTCTCTCCGGCACTTTTCATCATCAAATGAAACCCGATACAAACAACGAAGAAGAAAGTACTGACCCCAAACGTCAGAAAGAAGAGGTAGCGATGGATAAACATGAGGGAGGGGGGACCGGGGAGTTGAAGCTTTCTGGAGGAGTGTAGACCCCCCACACACATGCCGTTAAGACATGTCCCGTCCTGGCAAGGTTTGCCGTCCTCGAAGTAGTCCATGAAAGGGAAACAGATATCCGTGGATTTATCACTACAGCAGAGGTGACAGGGGGAGGTCGAGTCACAGTCGCAGGGTACCAGGTGTCTGACAGGATGTGACGCCAGTCCCTGGCTTTCACAGAAACCGATGCACGTGCCCTGGTAGCACGTGCCGCGGTTGGCGCAGGGTGAGCCGTCTGCTTGGGGTGGTCCCAGTGGGCAGGTGCGGTAACTCGTCCCGTCGCAGTAGGAAGTTTCGTGGCAGGTCACGTTCTGTCCGCCGTAGCAGGTCTTCGAGACGGGAGCCACGTGACAAGCGTCAGAGCAGCAAGGATAGTTGAGTGGTGAACAGATGGCGCCTTCCTTCAGCCTGCGGTGGGTGGGGTAAGAAATAAATAGTGCAGCCTGACTTAAACTACGTTGTACATACATTACAGACACGCCCATCAAGTCGACACGCCTATCAAATAGACACGCCTATCAAGTAGACACGCCCATCAAATAGACACGCCCATCAAGTGGAAACGCCCATCAAGTAGATACGCCCATTAGACAGTTTCCTCCATTGGTTAAACATATAAGCTATTTAGACACGCCCACCAAGAAGAAACGTTCATCAAATATTCGCATCGAGCAGATACAGCCATCAATCAGGCAAACCTTTCGAGCTGTCACGCCCAACGACAATCGCATCAAGCAGATATGTCCATTAATTACACTCGCCTAAAAAGAGATACGACCACAGACACGCCCATCTAAGCTTTGTATAAAGCAGACAAGCCCATCTAAGCTTTGTATAAAGCAGACATGTCCATCTAACACTCAACTTCTGAAATTTGCATCAAGCAGACAGGACTTTCCGGCAAGCACGCCCATTCATCAGACACGCCCATCTATCAGACACGCCCATCCACCAGACACGCCCATCAGGTAGATACAGCACCACCTCCCACCGCACGTTTGCCGCGTGTCACGACAACCTGCAGGCTTCTGCTCCACCCACCTGCAGTTTGGCCAACAGCATTTACTGTTCGGATCCATCCCGTCGTCGCATTCCTCAGCGTACTCGACCACGCCATTCCCACACATGGAGTCCACGGCGTGCTCCGGTAGCAGACAGAGGTGTGCCTTGTGCTAGAAGGGGAGGAGTGTACACCTAACTCAGTTTTTTTTATGCATGTCCGTGGTACATCACATTCTTAGTGCATTTATTAAAGACGCTATTTTAAATTTCTTTTTAAACTTAACCCCTGAAACATTTGTCAAAAGCATTTGTCAGATTTTTCTTGTACCCCGCCCCCCCCCACCTGTACCAAACCCCTCCTACCTATATCAAACGCCTATTACCTGTACCAAACCACTACTACCTCTACCAAGCCCCTCCTATCTGTACCAAACCCTCCTACCTCTACCAAGCCATTCCCTCTAACAAGCCATTCCCTCTAACAAGCCCCTCCTACCTGTACCAAGTACCTCCTACCTCTACCAAGCCCCTCCTACCTCAACCAAGCCCCTCCTACCTGTACCAAGCCCCTCCTACCTCTACCAATCCCCTTTTACCTGTACCAAGCCCCTCCTACCTCTAGCAAGCCCCTCCTACCTGTACCAAGCCCCTCCTACCTGTACCAAGCCCCTCCTACCTCTACCAATCCCCTTTTACCTGTACCAAGCCCCTCCTACCTCTAGCAAGCCCCTCCTACCTGTAACACCTCCTCCACCATCCTGGAGGTGCAGGGAGAGAACCTCAAATTGTTGACGCCCACCGCACCGTTGTAGCTGTCCCACATGATGTACTTGCCCCCCTGCATGTCATCGGGGGAGCACTCCTGGTCCCAGTGGTCGTGCTGGGCGCCCCACCCATGGGCGATCTCGTGGGTCAGGATGACCAGGTACATCTTTAAGACAAAGTCGATGATATATTATTACAATACACCCTCGGTGCTCTAACAACGTAGGTGTGTCAATAGATTGGTTTGTTAAATCTTTAAGACAAAGTTGATGGTATATTAGTACAACACAACCCACGGTGCTTTAACAACGTAGGTGTGACAATCTATTGAATTGGTAAATCTTGAAGACAAAGTTGATAACATAACCAATAAGCAATTCAATGATTACACTGAATAAATTATGCTAATTACATCTCACCGAGTCCGAGACAAAATTGCCATCTGTGTAGACTTTGGAGAAAGCCATGTTGTGGCACGTGGCACAGATTCCTTGGTGCCAAAACTCCTCACTGTCGTGGGTTTAGAGAAAAACAAATTGGTCAATAATGGGGGAATCTTCTCGTCTATATTCTAAACTTCTTGTATTGAGAAATTGTGTACATTGAACTAGCTAAAAAGAGTAACAGAGAGAATGGAAAGGATGGGGGGGGGGGGGGTTAATTATAATTTTTCAGATTGTACTTTTTTGTTCCCTTGAAGTAAACAAAAGCAATTCGTCTGTGTGATATGTTTGTACCGTAGATAATTCATAATTTTCAAAAAATATATTAACTAAAATATTAACCAAAACTTACTAAAACTCAAACGCGTTTGCAATGTTTAGTTGATTAAAATTGGAATTTATCACCTGTCTAGTAGAGTAACTTTCACAAAGCTAACGATTATTCTGTATAAAATCCACGCGAAGTGTTTACATTTCAATTATTTTTTAAATCTTTTTCCTCTGTCAGTGACTTTGACCAATTAATTTTTAATTGTAAAAATAAACTCTCCGTCATTTATTACGTTTTCTATAAAACATTTGCCTATAAATAGACCATAAAGCCTAATGCACAAATGACGGTAGCCTGACTGACTCACCCTTCCTCCCCTTCCTTGGGTACATTGGCTATGGTCGCCTGCCCCATCACCCCCGGGCCGATGTCCCTCTGGGTGATCAAGTGGACGAGACAGTACTCCCCGAGACAACTGACCCTGGACAAGGACTCCAACAGCTGGTGGGAGTAAAGCTGGTGCTCCGTCCCCATGTTGAAGTCGATGCTGCCGTTCGTCTTCGTGAACTCCTTCATGATCCGGATAGCCTTGACCTTGACCCTCATGCCGCTGAACGCCCCGAACTGTGAGCTCTTGTAGATCCTGTCCACCATCTGCATCCAGTACACGACCTTGCTGGCGCACATGTGCACCGACCCGTTGCACAGGCCTTTGTACGTCACGGCGTCCACTACCACCAGCATGTCGCAGGTGTTCGGGTAGTGGGACCTCAGCCTCCGCCGAGCTTTTAATCTCTCAGTAGCGTTGACGCTATCCGGCGACGTTTGGTTTTTACGATGGTCCGGTTCTGCTGGAGGGAGATCCGGAAATCTTGACCAGCTGACGTTTTGGACAGGCCTGGGGTCGTTGGTTCTCCTGACAATTTGTTCAGAGCCGTTGGTCATGCAAAACGGACGTCCGGAGTTTGAGGATGCATTGAACACACGGACATCACTCTTTCTGTAAAGTAAAACAGCTTTATCATATATGTACCGGAACCTGGTCTTTTAGAAATATAATGCTGTATTTGGTCAATTTGAGTATATTTTCGTATTTGGTTAGTTTTCATAAATTACCGAATTTCGACAGTTTTCATAAATTGTCATATTTGTTCAGTTTTCATAAGTTGTCGTATTTGGTCAGTTTTCATAAAATGTCGTATTCGGTCAGTTTTCATAAGTTGACGTATTTGGTCAGTTTTCATAAAATGTCGTATTTGGTCAGTTTTCATAAAATGTCGTATTTGGTCAGTTTTCATAAAATGTCGTATTTGGTCAGTTTTCATAAAATGTCGTATTTGGTCAGTTTTCATAAAATGTCGTATTTGGTCAGTTTTCATAAAATGTCGTATTTGGTCAGTTTTCATAAAATGTCGTATTTGGTCAGTTTTCATAAAATGTTGTATTTGGTCAGTTTTCATAAATTACCGAACTTTATCACATCACATCACAAAGTACGTGCTATAGTTGGTTTAGAGTTAAATTTGGGTGTCGGTTTTATGCTTAGATTCATATAAAATACAATTCAAATCAGGCCCAAGTTTATAGTTAGAAATATCGTTTTAACAACATAACAAGCCCAGTCATTATTGGCGCCCTCAGACCCACAGTGAAATTATGAGCGACAATATTTACTTTTATCAAATTAACTCATCCTTTATGTCTAATTTTATTTAGTACGTTCGATTTCTTTTTAATTCACGATGCTTACTTATTTGTAGAGTTTTTATACATTAAAGTGTGGTACCCGCATATCCTAAAATTAAACATCAAATTTACATTGATTATTAACAGTAATCTAAAAGTCTAAAACTAACTATAGTCATAAATCAGTGCCTAATTCAATTGCTTAGTTTTCGCGATCAGAAACTAAAATTAAATTGCATTATTAAATATTTAGAACATAATTACACGTATCAGAAACTAAAATTATATTACATGATTAAATATAATTAACATAATTACCAATAAATTATCAAAAAACTAAAATTGTATTACATGATTAAAAATATTTACATAATTACCTATAAATGATCATATTTTTCTTCCCACCAACCCGATCATAGTTCGCCACGGGTTCAATAAAATACACATCGTAAGGGGTCTCAATATGTGCCGACCACACCCCACCAGCATAGGAAGCATCCACCTCGCTACCACTCAGCCCCTCCACCGTCCCCACATAGAAATGATCTGTCCCCACCGGCACCTTTAACTCCCGACCCCCCGGGTCCACCAGCTTAACCTCCAGGTCCCCGTGGACCACCGGGCTCCCCGGGGTAAGGTGGATGTTGAAGGCCCGACCCAGAGCTGAGAACTGCAGGTGTTTTTTCTCAATGCGTGAGTCTGAGTCTCGTTTAGTGCGCAGCGTGATATCGGAGGGTGTGAGAATCTCGAAGAAACTAAACCGAGAATGTAGAGTGGAGAAACTTGGAGTTACACAAGAAAATAAACACAGCAGATGAAATGTTTTCATCTTTTTTAATAGATCTAACTCTAACTTTAACCTAAAACTAGGTGTCGAGTCTATAAACTGTTTACAAAAATTCACATGAAAAGCATTTAGTATAAATAATTTCATAAGCTTTCGGATCGTCACTTAGATCTAGATCTATATATATTTTTTTTCAAAGACTTTCGTGATTCTTTTAAACCCAGATTTCTAATTCATTTTGACGAATATGTACAAATCTCAATATAACCGGAAGAAGTACAGTATGTTTTACACTAAATAGAAATCATCGGGAATACCAACATGTTAAAAAATAATAGCGCGCAAACAAGTGCGAATCATTATGAGTTTCTCAGTACAGTTTTGTTTTTAGCGATGTTGATGGCAATTAATACGACCCGTACCTAACTAATCATATACCAAAATCTACAACTCTATGTATGGTATATCATAGCTGTACCCTCAATAAAAACCCCACTACTTAAAATGCCTCTAACCCCACCCCTAAACCGATATCTACAAATATTCACTAAGTAAAAAAAAATTACGACACGCACGAGTCAAGAGAGTGGGACGTCATAAATTTGGACTTGTAAACGTAACCATTGGTACCGATACGACCGTCTGGATGTACCCAATACACAACGACCAGCAGCAGTACGATAAATGTATCTAAGCGCATATGCCAAGCGCAAAATCGGTATATCGCGTTTTCGCGACAGTCGTCCTCGCTCGCTAATATAACGTATTTCACCGCAAATGTGACTGTCAGTTAGGTCCTATCGCCATACTTCAAAGTGGAAATAAAATCGGAAACAATACCCCAGGTTAATAAAATCCTTTTTGTAAGTATTTGTTTTTTATCTCTTATAACAGATTTAGCATCTATTGACTACCCAATATTCTTGAATAACCGTGTATCCCTAGGGTCATCCATAAATGACGTCATGTTTATTGGACGATTTTCATCTTTCCCCTTCCCATCCCACTGTCACACATCTTCACAAAACGTCAGACCCCATATTCAAAAAGACTGAACATCTCAGGCAACGTGTTATTGTCTTTTAAAAACACCTATTTCGGCTGAGCATGAGTCTGGCCACACTATCACTTCATGTGCTGACAGAAACAGGTGAACTCTAATTCACCTGCCCTGTGTACCGCCAAGTCCCGATAGTCAACTTTATCATTCACATCTAAAAAAATTATTTAAAAAATTACATTGACGTAATGTGTCTCGAACCCGTAACTATTACATTTCCGATTAGGTGAAGAATTAGTGAGGTACTTTGCTTAGATCTAGAGTCAGCGTAAAAAACTTCAGTTACGCGAATAGGCCTTATTATTTCAAATTAAATTTTATCCCAAATTCGATAAATTCCATAGCTAAACAAACAAAGATTTACGTAAAATAATTAAGGCCTGAATTAATTTAATATAGAAACTCATTATTGGCATAGATTCTAGATCTAGATAAATCTAGATATAACAGTAGCGTCTTTTTAAATTTAAACACTAGACACAATTTAAAGTAAATTTTCACGCCATTTTTAGGGGATAAGGTGTGAGTTGATGGTAGAGTTGTTAGGAGGGCATCTACCGTTTTGCAACTAAGTGTGACAATGATGTTTATAAAATGCCATTCGTGGACGGCACATTACCGAAATAACAAGAGACAGTAAATATTTTCGCTGTTACATAAATAACGCTGAACAAACAACGATTGGGGACTTTAATATTTCAGCGTTAGTCTTATCGAGACGTTTATCAGAACTTTATGTTATAGAACGTGACCAAATGCGGCTACATAGCATCTTCTTCTTCTTCTTTGTTCTTAATTTTAGTGGTGTTAGAAGGGATCCCCTCCAACACAATTAAGGATACGTGTCAACTGGTTATGCGCCATTGAGGCCATTGACTCCGATTTCAGCCTGCTTTCCTTTGTGGATTTGCTTCCATAGCCTTTGTCCAACCAAGAACAAACTACATGGCAGCAGTTGTTTGATTTTGGAGTTGTCTCTCCTAGAAAAGTGGCTGTCCCCAGCTAACGAGCCTCATCTGCCCGAGGGTTCGAACTCGAGACTTTTCGGTTTAGCAACCATGAGCTGTACCAACTCGACCTGCATAGCATCTAAAATAACGGACAAAAATGAGCTCATGAGCTCGGGAACCTGGGTAGATGAGACTCGTTGGTTGGTGACAGCGAAAATAATAAAAATCAAACAACTGCTGCCTTGCAGCTTGGATGGATTAAGATAATCTCTCACTCTCAGAAAGTTAAGCAGGGCAAAGTTGGGGTCAAAGGACCATAATTAATTATATGTAGGAGAAAATCACCTCCAATAATTCACTTAAGTACGAAGAATAAGAAGTTATAAAAATGCTAAATACAGTTAAGACGATATAATACAACTGAAATTAAAAACAACAAAAGCCCAGTACTATTTATAATAAACCTAAAAAAGCCCAGTTCAACTGCTGCACTTTAATTGTTTGGGCGGGGGTCATCAATAAAATATCCACAGCTGCCACATTAACATTACCTTTTCAGTTCAGTTACTTAAAAAAATAAAAATAACAACAGGTCTCAACGTCGATTATTTTTAAAGCTTCACAAAGGGAGATCGACCCAGGGGCGTAGCGAGGGGGGGGGCGGGGGGGGGGGGCGGACCGCACCGGGTGACACCATTTAGAGGGGTGACACCAAGGCAAAAAATAGCAAAATATATAGATAAAAACGAGGGGGTGCAAATCGAAAGTTTGAGGGGGGGGGGGTGCAAATCGAAAATTTGAAAGTTTGTCCCCGGGAAGGGCCGCTACGCCTCTGGGGGGGGGGGGTGACACCATTAAGTGCCGCACCGGGTGACACCCGACCTCGCTACGCCACTGGATCGACCAGTGTGGAGTTTACTATGTGACTAACGCTACGAAAAATATGTTGTTTGTAAAGAAGCTGTGTTTTCAGTTCCACATCAGCGCTTTTCACGCGCGGTTTGGTCGGGGTCTGTAGCGACCCCGTGAGATCTCGCCAGAAAAACATGTTGTTTATTATTGGTCACAGCCGGCAGATCCACCACGGTCTGGTGACAATAGAGGGTTTTAGAATTATTAAACCTAACTCTGCTATTTAACTATAAGTTTTTTTTAAATGCAGCGAAAAGAACATTTAGAAATGTTAGGATTGTTGGTTCCATGTGTCATGTTTTGTTTTTATTCTGATTGGAAAGGCTATCCATATAAAAAACGCCATAGGTCTCTATTTTTGTTGTAGTTGTTGTAATTACTCACCACATAGTGGGGTCACGTGACAGGACAACAGACATCTGGGGTGTTATGAGTGCACACTAGATGACACGTGAGGTCATATGACTGCACGATAGATGGCTCACGAAGTCACATGACTGCACGATAGGACACCCGTCATGTGTTGTTTGATCTCGTCTGTGACATCTGTATGTATAGTAGAAAGACAATCCTTCACCCCTGTCTGACAAATCCATTAATCCTTCCCCTGATAGCTTTGATGCTGATTATCATCAAAAGTGCATTAAGAATTCATTGTGTTAGACTTATTTGAATATTTTAGTATAATGTTTTCTCTAAAAGAAATAGTAATCGAAAAGCAATAAAGTGCATTTTTCCTGTAGAGAAACCTTGTGCGAATCCTGGTGGTATAAATAGAAAAGCGTTACCTACTTGTATTCAAGTTTTCAGTGAAAGATTTGAAGGAAGTTCCAGACTAAATCATGAAGTTTCTCGTCATCGCCGCTGTCTCCGTCGTGTTAGTACTTGCCAAGAGGGACCCTACCAAAGTCTGCGCCCCTGACACACTGCAGACTGGCTTTTATGACTTCAACAGAGATGTAAGTCAACTTGTTTCTCCCCTGCATGACTTTAAGGGAGATAAATGTCAACTTGTTTCACCTTCACACAGTGGCGTAGCGAGGTCGGGTGTCACCCGGTGCGGCACTTAATGGTGTCACCCCCCAGAGGCGTAGCGACCCTTCCCGGAGACAAACTTTAAAGTTTTCGACTTGCACCCCCCCCCCCCCCCCCCCCCTCAAACTTTTGATTTGCACCCCCCCTCAAGTTTTTCTCTATATATTTTGCTATTTTTTACCTTGGTGTCACCCCCCTAAATGGTGTCACCCGGTGCGTTCCGCACCCCCCGCCCCACCCCCTCGCTACGCCCCTGCCTTCACATACTCTAGTTTTATATGCAGTATTTTTAGCTCTCGTGTCGCAATGATTAGAGTTAATTAACCTTGTCTTATAATCCAACAGGATTATGGTCTTGCTGTAGCGGACTTCACCAAGAATCTGACGTCACTGTCCTTCTACAAATCTGGAGTTAAAGTTGTATATGACAACAATAATGTAAGCATAGACCACACGTCACTCAGCAAATAGACCACATAACTCTTAGTTTAGAGACCAAATTCTCTTCCTGGTTAATAGACGATTTATTTTCTCTGTCAATAGATCACACATCTGCAAGTCAATACATCACACATCTCCAAGTCAATAAATGACACACCTCCAAACCAATAGATCACACACCTCCAAACCAAATGATCACACACCTCCAAACCAACACACACCTCCAAACCAATAGATCACACACCTCCAAACCAAATGATCACACACCTCCAAACCAATACACATACCTCCAAACCAATAGATCACACACCTCCAAACCAAATGATCACACACCTCCAAACCAATACACACATCTTCAAGTCAATCGATCACACACTTCCAAACCAATACACACACCTTCAAGTCAATCGATCACACACCTCCAAGTCAATCTATCGGACATCTCCAAACCAATAGATCACTTACCTCCAAACCAAACGATCACACACCTCCAAACCAAACGATCACACACCTCCAAATCAATAGACCTAACAACTCCCAGTCAATAGACAATAATACTCTAAGTCAATGTTCCCCACAACATAACACTCAGTCTTTTACCGTTTCAACCCAGTGCATACCTTACACACACCTTTATAATTTAGAAGCAATATCTAAGCTACACATAAATGAACACGTTACACTTTATCAACTCTCGCAGATGAAAGGATACCTAACCAACAAGGACGGCGCATGCTCACAGTTTCCTCTGGACGCTACACAACTGACCTCTCAATGCTTGCCATGTAATGTATTCCAGCTGTCACATCACTCATCTGTACATAGTGCATTATAGTTGACGTACGGAGACATACAATCACTGAAACTGTACATAGTACATTATAGTTGACGTTTGTACGGAGACATACAATCACTGAAACTGTACATAGTACATTATAGTTGACGTACGGAGACATACAATCACTGAAACTGTACATAGTACATTATAGTTGACGTACGGAGACTGTACAATCACTGAAAGTGTACATAGTACATTTTAGTTGACGTACGGAGACATACAATCACTTAAAGTGTACATAGTACATTATAGTTGACGTACGGAGACATACAATCACTTAAAGTGTACATAGTACATTATAGTTGACGCATGTACGGAGATTGTACAATCACTGAAACTGTACATAGTGCATTATAGTTGACGCATGCACGGAGACTGTACAATCACTGAAAGTGTACATAGTACATTATAGTTGACGCATGTACGGAGACTGTACAATCACTTAAAGTGTACATAGTACATTATAGTTGACGTACGGAGACATACAATCACTGAAACTGTACATAGTACATTATAGTTGACGTACGGAGACATCACTGAAAGTGTAAATAGTACATTATAGTTGACGTACGGAGACTTACAATCACTGAAACTGTACATAGTACATTATAGTTGACGTTTGTACGGAGACATACAATCACTGAAACTGTACATAGTACATTATAGTTGACGTACGGAGACATCACTGAAAGTGTAAATAGTACATTATAGTTGACGTACGGAGACTTACAATCACTGAAACTGTACATAGTACATTATAGTTGACGTACGGAGACATACAATCCCTAAAACTGTACATAGTGCATTATAGTTGACGTACGGAGACATACAATCACTGAAAGTGTACATAGTACATTATAGTTGATTTACGGAGACATGCAATCACTGAATGTGTACATAGTACATTATAGTTGACGTACGGAGACATCACTGAAAGTGTAAATAGTACATTATAGTTGACGTACGGAGACATCACTGAAAGTGTGTAGACTTTTGCTTTAAGCTTTAACTGAACAATGAATAATGACCGAGCTTCGAACTATTTAATAAGACATTTCGTTGTACATACTTCATAACGTTACATCACAACACGTTTGGTTTTCATTACTTAATTTAGTTAATAAAAAAATAATTGAATACGGTTTTAATTATGTGTTCAGTGTTTAATTATGTGTTCTGCGATGTAAAGTCTTAACACGGAAGATGTAACTATAGTAAAAAAAATACAACATTTTGATATTTGTTTTATAGTTATTGAGTTTATAGAACGATGAGTACAATCTGGTATAAAATACTTGGGTGAAAAGCGCTGCTAATATATAATAAGATCAGACAGTAAATACTTACTGGTCATGACATGCTTCGGTCAACAGCCAACGCCGTGGAACTGGCCAATGACACCATCCACATCGGACTCTCAAGTTCCGGCACCAAGATCACGACCTGGGAGATCCAGTCGTCTGCCACTGCCGGCGTACGTGTGGCAGTCACTAACCAGACGCCTGCTATCCCCGTCTTGAGACAGGTCCTTGGTGAGTGGTCCCATGTGTTTAAACACTGTGTTTATTTATTGAGATTTATAGCTAAAGTGTTTACATGCAAGTGTTTAAAGTCTTTATTAATGTTCATAATGCAACGCTTTCAAAAACATTTGTATGAGCTTTTTACTTTCTCGTATATACGAAGTATAGAGAAAGTATTGTAATCGTGCAAAAAAAAAAAATCGAGATTTTTACAAATCTCGACGTTTCACACCTCACTGATACGGAAAAACATAATTTTGCAATCTTGTCCGTATGTCTGTGTGTCTGTCTGTGTGTCTGTGTGTCTGTCTGTCTGTCTGTCTGTCCGTGTGTAAACACGATAACTTGAGTACCGTTACAGCTAGGTTGATGAAATTTCATATATAAGTATTTAATCAAAATCGTAGATCCGTATCAACTTTTGAGCGATTTCCGATAACCGGAAGTGGTACTTTTCCTACTTTGAATTTTTCAAAAGCCTATAACTTAAGTACTATTTCAGATCGATAAATGAAATTTCATATGTAAGTAAAAGATCTAATTCTCTACCTTCTATTAAATTTTGAGTCATTTCCGTTGACTGGAAGTAGTACTTTACGCTACTTCCGATTTCTCAAAAAACTAATGTAAATTTTAAAAGTAATAATAATATTGCGCACCATTATGCGCTTTTTTATTTGGCGTTCACTTGGTGTGCAATTAATTTGTCTACGAGATTTTATTCTATTTTTAAAACTTTAAGTATTTAAAATGGATTAAAAATCATGTCTATAGCTCGAGTTCCCATCCCCTGTTTTTTTATATAAGAATATTCGAGAAAGTTTAGGGGAGATCACTCCCGGTTTATTATGTAGTGTTTTAACACCTAACAATAAGTTTTGTTTTTTACTTTCTCGTATATACGTAGTATAGAGAAAGTATTGTAATCGTGCAAAAAAAAAAATCGAGATTTTTACAAATCTCGACGTTTTACACCTCACTGATACGGAAAAACATAATTTTGCAATCTTGTCCGTATGTCTGTGTGTGTGTGTGTCTGTCCGTGTGTGTGTCTGTGTGTAAACACGATAACTTGAATACCGTTACAGCTAGGTTGATGAAATTTCATATATAAGTATTTTATCAAAATCGTAGATCCGTATCAACTTTTGAGCGATTTCCGATAACCGGAAGTGGTACTTTTCCTACTTTGAATTTTTTAAAAGCCTATAACTTGAGTACTATTTCAGATAGATAAATGAAATTTCACATGTAAGTAAAAGATCTAATTCTCTACCTTCTGTTAAATTTTGAGTAATTTCCGTTGACTGGAAGTAGTAATTTACGCTACTTCCGATTTCTCAAAAAACTAATGTAAATTTTTAAAGTACTAATAATATTGCGCACTATTATACGCGTTTTTATTCGGCGTTTGCTTGGTGCGCAATGTTTTTTTTTTATGATATTCTATTCTATTTTTAAAAGTTTAAGTATTTAAAATGGATTAAAAATCATAACTATATCCCCAGTTACCATCCCCTGTTGTTTTATATAAGAATATTCGAGAAAGTTTAGGGGAGATCACTACCGGTTTATTAATAAAGGTGTCTCTAACATATTAGCGTATCTATTTTTCGTTAGCTACTGTATGCTGATTTGAACTAGATTTATAAGAAATCCGGCATTTACAGTCAATCTCACTTGAACTTTTTGGTCGTTTTTAAATAAATTACATTTCTTAAGTTAAATTAACGAATTTTATTATGATACCCTATATAAAACCAATAACAAATATTTAAATTGATTGACATTTTCAAAACGAAAACTAAACGCTTGTACATCCTCACAATGATGTAATCCCTGTATCCTACGTCAAACTGTGTTTTATAATAAAAACTAAACCTAATAAACGCGGACCAACAAAATTGTAAGCAGTTTGTATGTAGAACGACTCATCAATACATTGCTGTATAAGTTGTGTCTTTCAACAGGTGGTACCCAAACCAAAGTGGCCGGCGATGTTCTATTCTTCACTAACCCCTCCACCACCATCGACAACACCAGCATGCTATTCATCCCATCAGTGTGTCCCCCCGCTGTGGTCGTCTAGACACGAACTCACATTCAATTCTTCTATCGTTATTGACTGTACATACATATTGTATATACATATATATAACCACACGAACTCACATTAAATTCTTTTATCGTTATTGACTGTACATACATATTGTATATACATATATATATATATATATATATATATATATATATATATATATATATATATATATATATATATATATATATATATATAAAACATTCAATTCTTCTTTCTTTATCGACTCTACATACATATTTATATAACCGGATCACTTTACCGATACAATGGTTGCATTTTGAGTAAAACATTAATATTTTCGCACACATTTTTGAAAGTGTTTTGTTGAGTATTTAAATATGGATGATTGGGCGGGGGGGGGGGGGGGGGGGGGAGAAGGGGGGGGGGGGTGGAGCATATTGTGGTGTGCGGATAATTCTGAAAGGTAAGGCTTTGGTAAATGGAGTAGTGATTTATAAGGTACTGATTGGTGAAGAGAAATGGAGATAATTCTGTAAGGTGTGGTATAGCATTCGTGAATGTGGCAATGTTTGTTCATGTCTTGATACGTGTGGGAAAATGTGATGATGCGAGGGAGACGGTTATAAATAAATCCAGATACTCTCTTTTGTTATTCATTTGTGAGAGAGAATCGGATTCTTACAGGGAGTTTACACACATGAGGAGAAACATAGCATGAAAGACAAGATCCTGCACATATACCTGTCATTAAAGACAAGATCCTGCACATATACCTGTCATTAAAGATAAGATCCTGCACATATACCTGTCATTAAAGACAAGATCCTGCACATATACCTGTCATTAAAGACAAGATCCTGCACATATACCTGTCATTAAAGATAAGATCCTGCACATATACCTGTCATTAAAGACAAGATCCTGCACATATACCTGTCATTAAAGATAAGATCCTGCACATATACCTGTCATTAAAGACAAGATCCTGCACATATACCTGTCATTAAAGACAAGAACCTGCACATATACCTGTCATTAAAGACAAGATCCTGCACATATACCTGTCATTAAAGACAAGAACCTGCACATATACCTGTCGTTAAAGACAAGAACCTGCACATATACCTGTCATTAAAGACAAGATCCTGCACATATACCTGTCATTAAAGATAAGATCCTGCACATATACCTGTCATTAAAGACAAGATCCTGCACATATACCTGTCATTAAAGACAAAATCCTGCACATATACCTGTCATTAAAGACAAGATCCTGCACATATACCTGTCATTAAAGACAAGATCCTGCACATATACCTGACATTAAAGACAAGAACCTGCACATATACCTGTCATTAAAGACAAGATCCTGCACATATACCTGTCGTTACAGACAAGATCCTGCACATATACCTGTCATTACAGACAAGATCCTGCACATATACCTGTCATTACAGACAAGATCCTGCACATATACCTGACATTAAAGACAAGAACCTGCACATATACCTGTCATTAAAGACAAGAACCTGCACATATACCTGTCATTAAAGACAAGAACCTGCACATATACCTGTCATTAAAGACAAGAACCTGCACATATACCTGTCGTTAAAATACAACTTATGTGACTGTAGGTAGGATTAGTGTACAACAACCAAGTAAACTTAATAGCACATTTAACCAAAACCTAACTTTATTCTTAACTCTAACTCAAACCCAACCATATATATATATATATATATATATATATATATATATATATATATATATATATATATATATATATATATATATATATATATATATATATATATAATCTATACTGGTATATATAGGATGGCACGTATGTAGATAGTTCAAGAGAGATTGGTAAATTAAATATAAAATTAAATGTCAATTACCGTTAGTGGCATCTCCTAATTAATTACCAACAATCTCTAACTAGGGCGTGGGATCTAACACATCTGTCATATACTTTAAAAAAGTAATTTTCAACCTCGTCCTAATTAAACTAATTAGTATCATGTGATTTGGATTTCCCTAGACTAAACTTTCAAAAAGTTACATATAACTCAGCTACTAAGAATAATGTTCTTATAATACTGTAAACATTCTGATAGAGTAAACAATACATAGTTAAGTTCAAGAAAGTAGATTTAGAAAGAAAGAAACATAAGCATGTTTGCGAATTTCATAACAACATTATGAAATGAAAAGAATTTTTTTATTGTATGGTTATGAAATTAAATTTTAAATAAATGCAACTGAAACAGTTTTTATTTTGCAGTGGTGGACAGCTAGGGTAAGCTTTGCTGAGGGGAGAGACCTGAGTTTGGTTTCCCGTGTTTACTTCTGAAGGAGAGAATAAAACTAATGTGTATTCCTTATGTTATAACTTGTAGTAGTAATAATGAGAAATGCGGTTAAATTTAGGTATACTTTTACTCAGTGTAAAATTATTTTAGGTACTTAGGTTGCGTTACTAAACAGGAATGTTGTCAATGTACTCTGCAATCAAATATGTGGCTGTTCAGTTCGTGTAGTTATCTCCCTTCATCGTCTGTGTGAAAACAATACACTGACGACGTGATTGGCTGTAAGGTTCCCATATCTGGAAGCACTCACCTAGAGCATATCGTCTGCTCCTTACCTGTACCACCGTGACCTCATCAAACATAGACTACTGATGTTCACGTCATGTATTGAATTATGCTGAATTGTAGGATACCAGTTTTTGTGTGAGAAAAGATGTACCAAACATGTTACTTACCAAGTACTCTAGTCTTATCAGATAAGTTGACAGTATGGCGTGGTCAGCTTCATAAGGTCACCACAAGCTAAATATATTCTAGTATCTTTAATTTAAACAAAAAATTAAAACCACTATCACCTCCCACCTTTGTCTGTGAGTCCAGGTGGTATAAATAGCAAAGCGTTACCATTTCTTGTATTCCAGTTTTCAGTGAAAGATTTGAAGGAATCTGTTCCAGACTTTATTCTATTTATTCCAGACTTGCATCATGAAGTTTCTCGTCTTCGCCGCTGTCTCTGTTGTGATGGTGCTAGCCCAGAGGGACCCCACCACAGTCTGCGCTCCTGACACGCTTCAGACTGACTTTTATGACTTCAACAGAGATGTAAGTCAACCTGTTCCGTCACATGACTTCAACACATATAAAAGTCAACTTGCTTTACCTTCACATATGCAAAATTTGAAACTCTAGTGTCGCCATAATTAGAGTTAATTAATTTTATCTTATAATCCAACAGGATTTTGGTCTTGCAGTGGCGGACTTCACCAAGAATCTGACTTCACTGTTCTTCTATAAGTCTGGAGAAAAAGTTGTATATGACATCGCTAATGTAAGGATTCATTCAGGCAATAGACCACACATCTCCCAGTCAATAGACCACACATCACCCAGTCAATAGACCACACATCACCCAGTCAATAGACCACACATCACCCTGTCAATAGACCACACATCACCCAGTCAATAGACCACACATCTCCCAGTCAATAGACCACACATCACCCAGTCAATAGACCATTACATAACCCATTCAATAGTTAAAGCTACTTTCATTTAATGTTTTAAACAACAACATGACAGTTAGTCTTTTACCGTTCCATCTAAGTGCACAATTTTACACATATTCTTTAAATTTAGAACAAATGCTAAAGTTGCACAGGTAAATTAACACCGTTCACTTTATTAACTCTCGCAGATGCAAGGATACCTAACCAAGAAAGATGGCGCCTGCTCACAGTTTCCTATTGACGCTACACAGCTGACCTTCCAATGCCTGCCAGGTACTGTATTCCGACTGACACATCACTCCTATGTACATATTACATTATAGACTGAACATTCACTGAAGCGTTTAGACGTGTGCTTTAAGCTTTAACTGAACAATGAATAATGACCAAGCTTTCTGTGATTTATTAAGACGTTCATACTTCATAGCGTTAAATACAACAACGCGGTTTTTACAAGCTTTCATTTAACTTGCTTTCTCCGTCGTCAGTCTGTCTGTCTAGTTCGAAAAGCCCGAGCGAAATTTCGGATACTTCTAACTGACATATATTAAAGTTGGCACGTGGGTCGAGACATAAAGACAATGCAATATGAAATTAAATTTGACTTAATTGGTTGCCTGATTAAGCAAGCTTTTAGGTAATAATGCACTAAAAAGTAGAAAACAATTTATACACTACTATTTAAATAAATATAAAGAAACGCGTGGGTCTCTTCCTAAATATTAGTAAAGGTATCCTATAGATATTAAAGTCACCTACGCTTTTTACTTTCTCGTATATACGAAGTATAGAGAAAGTCTTGTAATAGTGCAAAAAAAAATCGAGATTTTTACAAATCATGACGTTTTACACCTCACTGATACGGAAAAATATAATTTTGCAATCTTGTCTGAGTGTCTGTCTGTGTGTCTGGTTGTATGTGTGTGTGTGTAAACACGATAACTGGAGTACCGTTACAGCTAGGTTGATGAAATTTCATATATAAGTATTTAATCAAAATCGTAGATCCGTATCAACTTTTGAGCGATTTCCGATAACCGGAAGTGGTACTTTTCCTACTTTGAATTTTTCAAAAGCCTATAACTTGATTACTATTTCCGATAGATAAATGAAATTTCACATGTAAGTAAAATATCTAATTCTCTAGCTTCTGTCAAATTTTGAGTAATTTCCGTTGACCGGAAGTACTAATTTACGCTATTTCCAATCTCTCAAAAAACGCATGTAAATGTATAAAGTACTAATAATATTGCGCACTATTTTGCACATTTTATTTTGGCGTTCGCTTGGTGCGCAATTCTCTTTTCTACTAGACTAGCCATCGGTACCCGTTTCACGTGAATTATAGGCCTATATATTTAAAAATGTTGTACTTGTTTAAGAAAAATAATTTATAAAATAGGTATTGGTCAAAACGCAATGTGCATTACTACACGCTGAACGATATTACTGACAAAGCAAAGAAATAACAATTAGCTACAAATCCGACACATTTAACATAACACAGGCACACACTGATTAAGTGACTTAAATGATTCCGTTAAAAACTCGGCTATTCCACTGTATTCTTCTTGTTTTTAAAGTGATTTATTTTTATTAGGTTTTTATGAATAGATCTACAAATTTAAATGAAATAGTTCATTTATTCATCGGTAACCATACCATATTAAATGCACTCGCTGATTAAGAGACTTAAAAATTAAGAGACTTAAAAGATTTCTTTAAAAACCAGGCTGTTCAATGGTATTTATGTGGTGTTTAGTAGATAGTCTAAATCCAGATCTTAGCGCCTAAGTCTAGTTTTTCCGTAGATCTAGTCTAGATCTAGAATTGAGATCTAGATCTATATCTAGAATCCAAATAGATATAGTAAAAACTTATAAAAGTTTAGGCCGAGAAAATCGTAATGTATACATTTCATAGCGTACGTAGAATCTAGCTCTAAATCATATTTGAATGAAGTAGTTCATTTCTTTATTTTATTCTAAACTCGGAAGATGACGTCATCAGTTTCGTGGTCAAAGCACCGCTATGGTCAAAGCCTCGCTGTGGTCAAACCCCCTATGGTCAAAGCCCCTATTGTCAAAGCCCCGCTGTGGTCAAACCCCCTATGGTCAAACCCCCTATGGTCAAAGCGCCTGTGGTCAAAGGTCCGCGCACCCTAGATCTAGATCTAGAATCCTAATAGATGAAGTGAATTTTATAAGTTTAGGCCAAGAAAATCGTACTGTTTACATTTTATAGCGTACGTAGCTCTAAATCATATTTGAATGAAATAGTTCATTTTTTAAAATTCTAAACTTGGCAGATGACGACATTAGTTTCGTGCTCTTTTAGTGTAAACAATAAGCGACGTCATTGTTAAATGCGTTCTTGTCCCAAGTATAAACACTTTTCCGGTTGCATGATTAAAATTGTTTTTCTACATTCGAATACGCCTTTATTTTGTATTTTTCTTCTTTAATTAAAATTGTGGTTATACATTTAAAACATCTATCATATTATTTTCAACAAAATTCCGTATCACGTTTTCCATATATCGCTGCAAATTCTGATGAGATATCCGGCGAAAATATTTTGCGAACAGACAGAGAGAGAGAGAGAGAGAGAGAGAGAGAGAGAGAGAGAGAGAGAGAGAGAGAGAGAGAGAGAGAGAGAGAAAGAGAGAGAAGTGCGCACATGGTTTTTTATATATTAGGATTGTATTCTGTTTTTAAATGTTTAAGTAAACAAAAATCATTTCTATAATCCGAGTTGCCATCCCACGTAGTGTTATATTAGAGTATTCGAGAAAATTTAGGGGAGATCACTCCCGGTTTTTTATTTATTTTTTTGCACAATTACAACACTTTTTCTGTATTTTGTATACGAGAAAGTAAAAAATTCAATTTTTTAAAATTAAAGAATTTATAGAACGGTGAATACAACCTTGTAGTGAAATACTTTAGTAAAGAGCGCTGCTAATATTTAATAAGTTAAAAAAACCTATAAATCCAAAGTGGTCATGACATGCTTTGGTCAACAGCCAACGCCGTGGAACTGACCAATGCAACCACCTACATCGGACTCTCAAGTTCCGGCATCAAGATCACGGCCTGGGAAATCCCGTTATCTACCTCTGTCAGCATTCGTGTGGCGGTCACTGACCAAACGCCTGCTATTCCCGTCCTGAGAGAAATCCTTGGTGAGTAATCCCGTGTGTTTAAACACGGTGTTGACCCATTGAGCTTTATAGCTGGAATGTGTTTACTCGCAAGTGTTTAAACTCATTATTAATGTTCTTAATTAATTCAACGCTTTAAATACAACAGTATGGATATTTAATGTAGTGTTTAAACGCCCACCTGTAGTCTTTTTTTATACAACGTCATCCCTTTACCCTACTTCAAACTGTGTTTTATAATAAAAAACTAAACCCAAAGGAATCAGACTCACCCCTTGTAAGCAGTGTGTATTTAGATCATAACGTCGAATCAATACACTACTGTATGGCTTGTGTCTTTCAACAGGCGCTCAAACCAAAGTGGCCGGCGATGTTCTATTCTTCACTAACCCCTCCACCACCATCGACGACACCAGCATGCTATTCATCCCTACAGTGTGTCCCCCCGCTGTGGTCGTCTAAACATGAACTCACATTCCATTCGTCGATCGTTATTGGCTGTACATACACATTTATATTATTGCTTCACTTTGTCGTTACAAGGATTGCATCTTGTGTAAAATATAATATTTTTGCACACATTTTTGAAAGTGTTTTGTTAAATATGTAATTTTAATTGTGGGTGAATGGGCGGGGGGGGGGGGGGGGGGGGGAAATGTGGGGTAGTGTATTGAGGGGTATGGAGAATTATGACAGGTGTATTGTGGTGTTGATGGATGTGGTATTGTAAGGTGCTGCTTGGTCTGGAGGACGGGAGATAATTCCGAAATGTATGGTGTGGTGTTGATGATCGTGGCAATGTTTCTTCAGGTGTTGATACGCGAGGGAAAATGTGGAGATGCGAGGGGGGGGGGGCGGTTATAATCAAATCAGATACTTTCTCCTCTGATATTCATTTGTGAGAGAGTATCGGATTCTTACTGGGAGTTTACACACATGATGAGTAACAGCATAAAATAGAAGGTCCTGCACATATACCTGTCATTTAAGACAAGATCCTGCACATATACCTGTCATTAAAGACAAGATCCTGCACATATACCTGTCATTAAAGACAAGATCCTGCACATATACCTGTCATTAGAGACAAGATCCTGCACATATACCTGACATTAAAGACAAGAACCTGCACATATACCTTACATTAAAGACAAGATCCTGCACATATACCTGTCATTAGAGACAAGATCCTGCACATATACCTGACATTAAAGACAAGAACCTGCACATATACCTTACATTAAAGACAAGATCCTGCACATATACCTGACATTAAAGACAAGATCCTGCACATATACCTTACATTAAAGACAAGATCCTGCACATATACCTGTCATTAAAGACAAGATCCTGCACATATACCTGTCATTAAAGACAAGATCCTGCACATATACCTGTCATTAAAGACAAGATCCTGCACATATACCTGACATTAAAGACAAGATCCTGCACATATACCTGTCATTAAAGACAAGATACAGCACATATACCTGTCATTAAAGACAAGATCCTGCACATATACCTGTCGTTAAAGACAAGATCCTGCACATATACCTGACATTAAAGACAAGATCCTGCACATATACCTGACATTAAAGACAAGATACAGCACATATACCTGTCATTAAAGACAAGATCCTGCACATATACCTGTCGTTAAAGACAAGATCCTGCACATATACCTGACATTAAAGACAAGATCCTGCACATATACCTGACATTAAAGACAAGATCCTGCACATATACCTGACATTAAAGACAAGATCCTGCACATATACCTGTCATTAAAGACAGTGGCGTTGCTAGGCCGGGTTTTACCCGGTGTGGCACCTCACGGTGCCACCCCCCACACTTTTGATTGTAAATTTTGATGTTTTTTCATTCCCCCCCCTCCTTTGGTAAAAGCTTTAAAGTGTTCATATTTAATACTTATGATAAATGTGTACTTAAATACTTTTAAACTCTAATTTATCATTCATTGAACTGGGGAAAAAAATTTTTATTCAGTATATGTCTTGCGTTTTTTTTTTTCTTGATGCCTTCCATAAATGGTCAGCACCCCTTTTCTGTTAAAGATATGGCCTTGAGATGTTCTTCTTCAGATATTTTGTCTGGAATATTGAATCGGAGAATATTTGTCCCGAGATCATTTTTCATACAAGATCCTTGTCATAAGCGTGAAAAATGTTTTGTCGTAGTCTCTCAATGTATCTTTTATTATCAACTAGTTTTTTCCGTGTACAAATACAAAAATCCCAACGAAGATTAAATTTAAAGTAATATAAAAGCTTATTTAAAGCAATTTGTTTTCAATAACATTGAAGTAGATTAGTGATCAATATGAACCTTGAGTACCTCCGACTATTATTTTGGTTTTCATTATACAAAGTGTGTAAATCACTCTTTTTTTTTACCTCTTGTATGTTAAAATTTGCTCTTGGTTGCGATTGAAGAGTGTGTATTAGTCTGCAGGATGGGAAAAATCTGCGTTTTTATTCTCAATAGAAGTTGTGTTTAAAACAAAGAGATATTTGCTTTTTCTAGCTAATGAAAAAAATTATTATCTAATGGCACTATTTATAGAAAATATAATCAATAAAAAAACCAATTTGAATCTTAATAAACAATGAAAAATAAACAAAAAGGTATGTGTTTTGAAATGTGAATCAATGGTAATTACAGTACACATATGTAGGCTAGTAACATATTTAAGCTTTACGACATGATTAGTCTAAATCATGGACACACCTACACTAGACCATCCATAAACCTACCATAAGAAATCAGTTATGGTTCACTATTATTCTGCAAATGTTGCCATAAAATACTGCTCGGTAGCACGCGAAATAGTGCTCAACAAAAAGGTGGAGACACACACCACCATACATCGCAGACTTCGTGCGAAATGGCGTAAACGTCTCAAAACTAATTATGAATTCTTCATTTAATGGCCATTTTGTTTTCTTTTGAATCCTAGGCTCCAACTAAAGATATCTTACATTCTTCTACAGAAGGTGCAGCAACTAAATGTCGATTTGTTTAAAATGTGGTTGTGTGGTTGCGTCTGTCTGTGAACATTATAATTTCTGTACCGTTTCAGATTTGTCAATGAAAACTCTTATATAGGTATTATATAAAATTTATAGTTTTTGTTAACTTTTGAATTAATTCTGCTGGAAGTGGTACTTACTCTACTCCCGGTTTCTGAAAAGCCAATATTAAAAGTATCTCTCAAAGAAAGTGCACGAAATTGCACATTTAAGAATTACATTATTTTTTTCAAATTTGAAAGATTTTCGGTATCCGGAATTGGTTTAGTACTGTATTTTAGTGAGAACACGCGTACTTGAGTACTTTTTTAGTAAAGTAAACGACATTTTACATATAAGTAGAAGATTTCATTACTTTAAATTTTTGAGTGACTTCCGTTAACCGAAAATAATGTGGTTTTTTACTCTATTTCTGGTTTCTAAAATACCGATAATTTAAGTACCATTTCAGCTAGGTAGACGATATAAATTTTCAAGGTATACGTACTGTTATCTTGATACTATTTAATTTTAAGGGATTTCCGGAGAACGGATGTAGTAATATAGGATGATTTCCTATTTCTGTAAAAGGTAAACAATGTTGCCTATATAATTATTTTTTTCCTATCGGTTATACACATGCTGATTTTGATCAGTTGGTTAGCATTTTTTTTTTACTCGGTTTAATTATATTTTGAGAATGTAAGTTTTAAAAAACATTAACCAAAAGGTCATTTCTAAAGCTTAGTCGAACTAGCAGTTCTCTCTTCTTTAATATGAATATGCGATAAAGTTTATGGGAGATCACTCCCTCTTTATTTGGAATGGGTCTTTCCAATTGTTTGGTGTAATTATCACACACACATTCATATTTGACTACATATTTCCCAGGCTGAAATCTTCTTCATCTTCGTTCTTAATTCTTACCTAATGAAGGCGATATCCGCCAACAGAATTAACAATAACTTGTCAATACGCTATGCGTGATATGGCCTGTTGACTCATGGTGCTTTTCATTTTGGATTTGCTTCATAGCCATTCTCGAGCAAAGAAGAAACTACAAAGTAGCTGTTGTTTGATTTTGGTGTTTTTCTATCCCAGATAAATTAATGCCCAGAGGTAAAGAGCCTTATCTGACACGGATCCGAACTCGGGAAATTGTAGAGTAACGCTGTGTCCCCATTCGTTGACACCCCCCCCCCACCCCTCCAATTTTCTAGACAGAGTTATGCGTGTCTCAGACTAAATGTACTTATTTCATCGACACAACTCTACACCAAGGAAAATGTTAAAATGGTTTATTACTACAATAAACATGTACAAATATCAAATGGCAAATGGGTTTAAACTGCGGTGAGAGGTGTGCAGACAGTTGGGACAATAAACAGGTCGTTGTCGACGGTGGTTTTGGAGTTGGTGAAGAAGAGGACGTCTCCGGTGATGTTGGTGGATGTGCCTGAAGATAATAAAACAGCAACATCATCGTATGAACAGCAAGATCAACATATGGATGGCAAAATTATATATGCTTGCACAACAAGATCAATATATGAACAGCAAGACCGCATGAAAAGCAAGAAATTCATATACGTCAACAATAAATAAATGCTGATATAACAAAATTAGTGAGAATCGACCAGACCAATTACCAATACCTCTAATAAATGCTGACACAACGAAAATTGGAGCAGACGACTTACCAATAACCTGTCTGAGGACGGGGAAGGCTGGGGTGCTGTCAGTAAAAGCGGCCCTGACCTTGGTCTTGTCATCAAACTGCACGTCATATGAGACGAGCTTAAGGCTGGTGGCGCCGAATCCAATGACGGTGTCGTTGGTGGTGAGTGGGGTGGCGGATGCTGTTGGATGTACAACGGTTTGTGTATATTCAAATCATACTTAGCGTTTACAAGATTTGATAATTAGACTTTAAATACGTTTAAACAACAACAGAGCCAAATTTTAGAAACAAGTATTTGAAGAAACTTTACTAAAATTTTGCTTTTTAAAACAATATTTAGAAACCTAGCATATTTACGTTGGCATTTTTGTTTTATGGATTAGATTTAAGGGAGATGACGACAGCAGGTGTATAACTCACCTGGAAGACACTGAGTGATGACCTGACTGGCTTGGAGGTCGAATGATGTGCACTCGCCGGTGCCACTGACTAGGTAACCTTTGCCCTGGGAAATGTAGAACACACATAGGTAACACATCACAATAGTTGGGGTAATCAAGTGTCAAGCTAAAAACAACACACATAGGTAACACATGAGAATAGTTGGGGTAATCGAGTGGAAAGCTAAACACAACACATATGTGACCAGCACATCAGCATAGTTGGGTAATCAAGTCTTGAGCTAAACACAACACATCACAATAGTTGGGGTAATCAAGTCTCGAGCTCAACACAACACATCACAATAGTTGGGGTAATCAAGTCTCGAGCTCAACACAACACATCACAATAGTTGGGGTAATGAAGTGTCGAGCTCAACACATCACGTCACAATAGTTGGGGTAATCAAGTCTCGAGCTCAACACAACACATCACAATAGTTGGGGTAATCAAGTGTCAACCAAAACACAACACAACGCACATCAGAACATAGTTGGGGTAATTAAGCATCAACGTAAACACAGTGTGCCTTAGATTAACCATGTCAAAAGCTGCGTGAGACTAACCACGTGATAAAAAAACTTACAGCAAGAAGATCGTAGACAACTCTAATGTTGGTTTTGACGAATCTCAAGGAAGTCATGTTCTTAGTGAAATCAGCAGCGACAGTTCCGAAGTCCTAAAATCATCATTTAGTTAATTTTAGAATCACGCAGTGAAATTTGAAAATCAGTATCTATATTTAACTTAAATCTTCGTTAATAATCTAAATAAACAGGCTGATATTAACTTTAATCTTCGTAAGTTATCAAAGCAAATAAATAGACTATATTTAACATAATATAATCTTCTCAAATAATCAGATCAAATAAACACATAATCATCTCATCAGCTATATTCCGTTTGTGCCAAAGACACATAGGGCAGATGAAGTAGAGTTAATCTGTTACAACAGATAATATTTAACTTAAATCTTCGTAAATCATTAAATCAGTTAAACAGACTATATTTAATTTAACTTAAATCTCGTAAATTATTAAATTAACAGACTGTATTTAACTTAAATATCCGCAATTATTAAATGAAAGAAACAGAATATATTTAACTTAAATCTTCGCAAATTATTAAATTAAATAACCAATACGTACTGCTAAAAGACACTAGATTGCTCTTTACAGCACACAAATGAAACATCCATAATGTATGCCTATTACGTGATGCACATTTTGAAGGTGAGTACTTACTGTCTTATCGAAGTCATAGAGGTCACTCTGGAGTTGGTTGGGCAGGCAGACGGTTGTTGGGTCGGGCTGTGCCAGGACGAATGGAAGAACGAGAGCGACGAAAAGGCAGAGCTGCATTTTGATCAAAGGACGTCGAGATACAACAGGTACGGAGGGATGAGAGGGTAGAGGCTGAACAATCGGACTCTGGAGAATTTATACATTTTTTGTGTGCTGTAAATCTTATCTTTAAAGATTAAAAAAACATGTTTCTTCCTCAACAGATGGGAGAGTTCAGTTTTCATGTGCTGACCTAGCATTCTAAAACTATGACATTAGTCATTATTAAGATAATATTTTTCAGTCATATTGTTGGATTGTTGTAATTAGGACTTGGTAATCAAATTTTTAACAATTTGATAACGGAGTAGAATGGAGTGAAGTAATATTTCAAGCCTATCTATAGATATAAGAAGTGGGAGTCAATTTTTTAAACCTAGGTATTCTGTCCTGAAGTCGTACCTATCTTCGGATGAGTAAAAAAGCCATCAAATCGAACCGGAAACAGATGCTCAATTCAATGTGGGACGTGTGTTTGCAATCATGTTCTTTAATTCAAGAAAGATGTGAGATTTATGATGAAAACCCAAGATTTTAAAAACTTGGCGTTTTTTTAGAAATTGTGTACCTTATGGGTCTTATATGACGTATTTTATGTTGGCACAAAAAAAAGATGAGGTTAAACTAGTTAATGAGTGTTGAATGGAATTAAACAAATAGTACTAGTAATATATGACAGAGTGAACGATAAGTGAACAATAGACGACAATTTGTTTGGTATAGTCCACAATGGATCATTGTTGTATAAAAAATGGGGGTTTGCGTGTAAGACATAGTTGTTCAATTCCAATATAAATGAACACATACTCGATAGTTTTTTCTCACACTATTAAATCGGTATTGTGCCCTCATTTATCTGGTGTGCTTGTACTGCCTACTCTGACAAAAGAATCAACTACTTGGCAATTAGAGTTGAACTGTAAAACCAACTAGGTTGTTGACCTCTGATAGACTGACGACTGTCCTCAAAAAAAAACAAACCCTCAGGTTTTTTAGTGATTTAAAAAAACGTAAATGTGGATCAGATGATTTTAAAATGTGCTGAATGTGCTGACTTGGTAAGAGTATATCAGTCTGACGTTACATGCACTGCTTTACAGTTTACTACTCAAATGTATAATAGAAACAATTTAAAAAAAAACAGTACACAGAGATAATTTAGATAACCATGTATATATATATATGTGTGAGTATATACTTTCCTTGGCAATTGACTCGGCTTCATAGCTCACTAAAGCGTGGAGTTGAAACCTCCCTAGAATATACACACCCTTTCAAAGGAGCCACTTTTTTTTACTTTCTCGTATATGAGAAATATAGAGAAAGTCTGGTAATCGTGCAAAAAAATCGAGATTTTTACAAATCTCGACGTTTTACACCTCACTGATACGGAAAAACATAATTTTGCAATCTTGTCCGTATGTCTGTGTGTCTGTCTGTGTGTGTGTCTGTCTGTGTGTAAACACGATAACTTGAGCACCGTTTCATATATAAGTATTTTATCAAAATCGTAGATCCTGATCAACTTTTGAGCGATTTCCGATAACCGGAAGTGGTTCTTTTTCTACTTTGAATTTTTTAAAAGCCTATAACTTGTGTACTATTTCAGATAGATAAATGAAATTTTACATGTAAGTAAAAAGATATAATTCTCTACCTTCTATCAAATTTTGAGTAATTTCCTTTTACCGCAAGTAGTAATTTTCACTCTTTCCGATTTCTCAAAAAACGCATGTGAATTTATAAAGTACTAATAATATTCCGCACTATTATACACATCTTTATTCGGCGTTCGCTTGGTGCGCAATTCTTTTTTCTATGAGATTCTATTCTATTTTAAAAAGTTTAAGTATTTAAAATGGATTAAAAATCATAACTATATCCCGAGTTCCCATCCCCTGTTGTTTTATATAAGAATATTCGAGAAATTTTAGGTGAGATCACTCCCGGTTTATTTTAGTGAAGTCAACTATCGTTTGCCTTTGCTAAAACTGTATGCACCCGCTATGTAACAAATATCGCTGTGTCTTACTTCACCCAACAATACTGTCTACTAGACCACTCGTCTGCCATATAGTGCCAGAAAACCAACACCATCACCGTCTCAGGAAAACAACAGATATCTCTACCAGAAACATAATCTCCTAGCTGGAATAAGGAAGGTCACGGTTAGGAAAATACTTTATTTTTTTCTCCATCAGCTGCTCTTCAATACTACAAAATAAATTGTTGACTGCATTTTCCATTTTCTGGTGAATACTTGATTGAGTATTTGTCAACTATTGATGTATTTATAGATAAGCAAGTTTAACAATTTTATTAAAGTTGTTAGCACGAAGTACTTGTCCATAAGTTTTGAACCGCTGATCCCAGTCCAGATGGTAACAAAAGGTCATCACGTGACCTAGTTAGATTGACGGATGGGACCTGAGCACCTGATACAACTAATGACGTTCAGGTGTCCTTACTAAGTGTTCAAGCGGTAGTTTTGTATGATCTATAGAACATTCTAGAACTAGAAAGATTAGCTCGTGTAGGAAAAACTTATCTTTTTTTATTACAAGCTTTTATTTAACTTGCTTCCTGTCCTTGTCTGTCGTGCTTTTGTCTCTATGTCGTATAGATTGAAACTGCCGAGCGAAATTTCGAGCAATTCTAACGGACCGATTCATTTGAAACTTGGCACGCGGGCAAAGACTTGAAGACAATGCAATCTGACAAACAAATTTGACTTCATTTGATAACTAATTAATTTTTTATGAATTAATTAAAATCTTCTGAAATTAGTAGCTTTCCTACTATTATTTCGAATTATTATGCGCGCATTATCATGTTCATTTGGTGTTATTTCAAAAAAAAAAAAAATAATAGCAAAGGTGTTCTTTGTTGATTATGTATTGAACATTCTATAGCCTCGTTAAAACAAATATTGTATAGAACATTCTAGAACTAGCAAGGCCGTCTGGTATCTGAGAAAGTTAGAGCCGGTATCACGTGAACAAAAGATAAGTCACATGACTCATTGTACTGCTGACCTACTTTTATCAATGACTCATAGTTCTGCTGACCTACTTTTCTATGCAACAGAGCACACGAACTTTAGAAACCAAAATATATTTTTTTTAAATTTTCACCCATGCAGTTGACAAGATAATGTTAATTGTACCGTGTCAAAATCTCTTTCTTGAACTTCCTCCATTCTATCTATTGTCATACAATTATTCTTTCCACACATTTTGCTTTCCCACAGATCTCCACACAACTTTTATCTCACTCACGCCCGTTTCCTACGATTGACTCTTATGATTTCATTCCTCAGAGCGCCGTACCCTCTAAGTCTAAACTACTAAAACATCGAACTCACTCAAATCCAATACCATTTCCACAATTTCCACCTCCCCACCAAAATGTTAAATCCCACTTTTCTCCTCTTCCACAGCCCACCACACCTCTGGCATGCATCTTTCACACATGTTCAGCACCTCACACCTCCACCACCCCAAACTTTCAAACACACCTCCCACACTGTTTCCAAGTAAACTCCAGTCTCCTCTTTTCTTTCTCAACTAAAATAACTCTCCCACCTCCTCCACACCTCTCACACCCCCCACACACATCCCACATCTCCCACACCTCCCCCCACCTCCCACACATTCCCCACACCTCCCACACTTCTCCAGCCTCCCCTACACCTCCTCCAAACCTCCCACACCTCCATCACATCTCCCACTCCCCCCACACACCTTCCACACTATCCCCACACCTCCCTAAATCTTCTCCACAACTTTCACTCCATCCACAAACCTTCTACACCTCACACACCTCCCACACCATGGTTCATCTCTTCAATATAGGCTGAAATTTTGTTCCAACCCTCACTCAAGTCTAAAGTTATCGTGTCTCCCATACATTTTAAAACCTCACACGGACTAAATTTTCTGGAGGGGGGAGGGGGCGACACTGGTAAAAAAATTCTATATAAATTATATTTCTGGGCATTCCCCCCCCCCCCCCCCCGGACGAGCCATGGAAGGAACTCTTTCCTCAAATTCCCCTCAAAACTCCTAGATTTATCACGGCGATTTCAACATCGTAAATTACCCGTCTAGACTTTTTTTTTCTGTTAAATAGTTTATTTTTACTCCAACTATTATGCGAGATGCCCGTTTTTAACAAGTAGAATTTCTTTACACTTACGTAAAGCCACATCATTCTGTTATGTTAGCCCTTATATAGGCCTATCTATCTAGTAAAGACTAGCCTAAGATCACCACTAGCTTTCTTATCGTAGAACTGGTTTAACATCATACTAACGCCTATCTTATCTTTTTTCTGCCAACACATTGGAACTAATGCGTTAAATATACTTTACAGTTCGTTATTTCAATTGAATGAACAAACGAATATTGTTTTAAACAATTGTTTAAATAAAAAATTTTAAGAAAGATTGTCTTGAGAAATTGAAAATACTGAGGATTATGTTTTGTTTAGTTGTGATAACTTTATGTATTTACTTAACTTCATTAAGTCTCTTCGCTAAAAGATTTTTTTTTATTAATTATTTTAATTATTTAAGAATTTTACATTTTCATGCTTTTTAAAATAAAAATAAATCTTACTTTAGGTAGGCATGTTTATCTCTCCTCCTGTATATCTGCCCTCTCTCATCTCTCCACTCTCTCCTCTCTCCGATCTCTCCCTCCGATCTCTCCCTCCGATCTCTCACTCTCTCCAACCTACCACCCTCTCCGATCTCTCCCTCCGATCTCCCCCTCTCTCCGATCTCTCCCTCCGATCTCTCCCTCCGATCTCCCCCTCTCTCCGATCTCTCCCTCCGATCTCTCCCTCCGATCTCCCCCTCTCTCCGATCTCTCCCTCCGATCTCTCCCTCCGATCTCCCCCTCTCTCCGATCTCTCCCTCCGATCTCTCCCTCCGATCTCCCCCTCTCTCCGATCTACCACCCTCTCCGCTCACTGTATTTAAAGTCTCAACAATCGCCATGATAAGCATGTATTTATAAATCTTTTTTTTTTTAAGATTATAAATTCCCGCTGCCCATTGATAAATCGAATTCTAGATAATTA